TAAGATAACAGTCGAAATATTTAAGATTCGTGGTATCATTGTATCATGGTGCATGACATTACACAATTATTATTATCAGTTGAAATGACCCTTAAAGGAAGAGACTTGACACCATTTTGTTATGGCAGTATATGTAAAAAGTCTGACATGCAGTAAAGGAAGGAAGGAGATGCACATGTGATGAAACTGTACGTTCAATTGCATTTTTTTTCAAAACCATAGATAAGCAAATGTATACAATATGATAACTGTCAATTTTCATACTATGATATACGGTTTTCACAGTAAACCATTGCAACCTTCATCATATTGCAATAGCATTATCAGTCAAAAATAATCGCAATTAGATATTTTTTCCAAATCATTCAGCCCTACTGTTAAATTGGATAGATTTAGGTTTTCGCACTGTTGGTCGGACAAATAATTCAAATTCAAGATGTAACCTTGGGCCCTGGACATGTTGCCAGATGCTGTTTCTTAACAATTTTTGACCATACGTAGCACAAATTTATCGCCTAACTGAAAAACCTATCAACAGATGAATAATAATAATCGTTAGCAGCAGCGTGAGCGCTTTCTGCCTTGAACACAGAGAGATTACATGACTATATGTAACAAATGGCTGATACACCGACCTCTCCGACCTTATGAAAAGGGTATCTGCTATAGGAGCAGCATGGATTATATAGGGGATATACGGTGTCTTTGAAGAGGTCTTCTTGGTCGAGTATATGCAGGAGAGGAATATTATACATGGCATCAAGAGGACTATCATACATAGAGCGATATATTTGACTGCATCGTCAGCCACTGCTCACTAAAGCCGGCCAAGAGGGAGAAAGTAGGGTAAATACAAAGGGCAAATCCGGTTAGCCAAAACATACACTGGAATCCTCATTACAATGACAGAGCAGAGGGGGAACAGAGGGCGAGACGGGAGCCTGGTAGGCTTCTGATACCGGCTGCCCAGATTAAGAGACCATCAGAGCTTTACTGTTTAAGAAAGGAGTGTTTTAAGACAGCTCAAGAGAGGGGGAACAGAGCAGAGGCATTCACAACAACGGCTACAATACTAAAATACAAAGGGTTATACAGCTGAGCTCAATGCTGATATTATAGGCAGATACTATTCTGCATTTGATTCTAACAGGATCCAGTAATGTCAGATAGATTCTGAATGAAAGGCTTTTATTATCTTTCAACGCAGATGTTACACAACTTTCAATCGGCGCAGTATTCCACACTGCTGAGGCTCTTTACTATCCCCATTGATTCACAACCCACTGCACATAATTGGGTTAATACTGGGCATGATAAAAGTTTAAATTTAGCCACATGTCATATTCAACGCCAGACAATTTCCCCATTCAGATTTGGGGCGTTTATGGCTCAGAACAAGTTAACAGCTCGCCCACAGGCCAGACAGGGCCGCTGTAAGCCCATTACAATAAGCCTGTTCACCTTAATGGTTCCAGCAGCCCAACTGTCACAAATCAAATCATTGCCAACACTCCATTTCCCTTATTAAAACTGCGCTGAACATAATGGTTTACACACGCCGCGAGGAGTTGCATCCGTCCACCACACATCAGCAGTGTAAACAGACTGTTGTGTTTATGCATTCCTTCATGACCATTTATCTTGAGTGACTTTATTAGATTAGATGTATTACAGGAGCTGTGAGGCAGGTCTATGAGGTGCATTTATCAGACTCTGGATGGGGTGAAAGCTTTTTGAGAGGCATAATAATCAAGTGATGGGCCAATTCCACAATTAAAGGAGAATCAGTCTACCTGTTGTGATCACCGCCACCATTAAAGTGGGTCTATATAGAAAAGCATTTCTTTTGATGGACGGCAAACTGCACTAATAATGATTTTCACTGTGAAGCTAAAAGGACGCAGACTACACCATATAAACCCCACAATTATTACACAGACAAAGAAATGACCAGCATGACAGCAGCTTATCTGTCTTACTTTGACATCACTTCTCACACTAAATCAATTCTAGATGCATGAAGAAGAAACGCACAGTGGTGACGGACACCAGGTCAAAGTTCAGGTAGGACTCCCCTGCAACCCAGAAAGTTATTGAGGCAACCTAATGAGGTGCTGATGGGGGCGAGGGGGGGGGTTTACAGTCCTCTGGAGCAGCAGTTACTCAGCAGTTGTCACAGATAGGAAGCCTCAAGTTGACGTGATGTCTCCTGCCAGCTTGTTATCATGCCTGTTACCATTGCATAAGTGAAGCCAAATAAATGTGATTTTGAGCTCAGTCGGTGGAGAGGAAAAGAAAAAAAAAAAGGGAGCGACGAGGAGCGAGGTGGCAAAGAAACCACCGACTCTCACCCGCCTGTGAGCTCTGAAGACAAAAAAAGTGGGAATGATTTTGGTGTGTTCAGTCTACACGGAGCTCAGATGACACAGAGAATGAAACCACTTGCGTGATATGAGACTCCATGATGTCTGAATGTAAAGAAAAGGGCCATTTTGTGAGGCAGCTAATGAGAACAAGGCTGAAGCATCTCTGTCAGCTGAATTTAAAATCATCTCGAGCACAGGAAATTCATCTCCACCTGCATCTTTTTACAACAATCGCTCCTGAGCAGGAGATATAATTAATGAGGTCCTTTTGCTGCTGAAATGAAGCACATATTCAATTTGCCTCATAAAATCTGTTATGGTTCACATTAAAGCCTGAGTGGTCGTCTAACAACCTCTTAACAACAACCTTAATGACTGCAATTTATGACATTACAGCTTCATGACACACTGCATCAGCCAGGAGAAATTAATTAACATCTTTGTGATGGGTGCAAAGTTACCTTTATCTACAGACAGTGAAAAAGAAGAATTAAATTTGCACTTCACATTCATCTGCAAAAATTCAGCTCCGCAACAATGAACCTTCAAAGTGAGTGCAGCTGACCGAAGGTAAGTGAGTGCAGCTCATAGTCAGTAAGTCAGAGCGAATCAGTGCTTTGATGTGTGCAAGAGTCCAGCATGACAAGTTGATGGTGACAAAACGCTTCCACACTACTGACCCAACTGACAAACCAATGCAGGACAAAATATTGAATTATCCTGCAGATTAAAACAAAGAATCCAAAAAAAAAAAGCATCAAGAGGAATTGTGAGACAAATAAAACTGGGTGCAATTAAACTGTAACAGCATCTTATTCTACAAATGTCAAATGGAGAAGATTCATCCTTCTCACTGGGTGTGATACTTGGAAATATAAGCATGGATCCATCTTGGCAGCATGGTGTGATGGCTTCATGAACATCTATTAAACATGTTTGAAAATATAAGCATGGATCCAAATTAGCACAACGCTGTGATGTGGTGTAATTTGCATTTAAATCATTTTTCATTTGATGATTAATCTTCACACAAATCGATAGCAGAGAAGGATCAGCCTCTTACCTCTGTCGGTTGTGTTGGGAGGTTTCCTCTCTCCTTCTCGTCTCGTCTCTTCCGCCGGTGTCCGTGAAATATTTACCCACTCAAAGAGGTATACTGCCAGCCATCAACGCTTGATGCTCTTGAAAAAACATCATCCTGAAAAACACAGCTTGGAGACATGCCAAAAATGTGTCAAAATGGGGAGAAAGGGGGAAAAAAATGAGCCAATAATTCTTGCACTTATTGAAATATTAAATAGCCAATAAGTGTATGGTTGTCTGGTGACAGTGGAGAGGTGCTTGTGTTGATGGATGAGAGAGGCGCTCTCAGTGAGAGCGAGTGAGTGAGAGAGACAGAGAGAGAGAGAGAGAGAGAGAGAGAGAGAGCGCGTGAGTTAGAGAGAGAGAGGGATTAAGATTGAGGAGACACCCCTAAGGGACCCTTTATCGTTGCATTGTAGCCCTATGTAGCTTAACGCCCAAGCGACTTCACAACACGGCAGCAACACGATATTGCCCAAAGATAATTAATCTGTTACTGGGGATTAGCGGGGTCTAACCCCCTCACTCACTTCATACTGAGGCACACTTCTAACGCCGACCCCCACCAACAGTCCACGCACACTCCCCATCAACCTGACCAATCTGCATCCAGACTACCACACTGAACCCTGACCAGATTACTGAGAGAAAAGAGTCAAAATGCAGCCAACTGTGTGCACTGAATAATAGTGAAAAGAGATTTTTTTTTTTTAAATCCACTCACAGGTTGGTTGCAAAACTCCTGCCTATGACAGCACAGTTAAGGCTGCGATGTGCTGAGAGCTCATGTGAGGCAGAGATGCATATAAAATTAGAGTAAGAGAAGCGAATAAGCACACAGAGATGAATATGGGGAGAGGGGAGATGCAGGGAGAATCAACATGAAATACTGAGGAGGGGGAAAAAAGTGGGTTCCCAGGGAGTGATGCTGAGAGAAACAGGAGGGAGGGTGAGAGATGGAGTGAACAATGAATAGAGAGGTGGTGGTGGTGGTGGGGAGAAGCAGCATGCAATGGATTTTTAGGCAAAACCAGCTTTCAGTGGAGGCTGCAGGACAGCATCAGCACTGATTCAGTGACGAGGTAGCAGAGGAGAACATGATGGAAGTGATGAGAGGCTGCTGATGGAGATGCTCTCTGGGAGATTTGACCGAGAAATGCAAATTGGAGATATAATGGAGAGTAAAAAGAGTATGGTGTTTGTCTGCCATCAGAGAAAGGGGGGCAGGAGGAGGCGAGCAAAGAGGGAGGGGGCGGCGTTAGTTTTTCTGTGTCACTGAAAGAGAGTGGGGGAAGGGAGGCAGGGAGATAATGCGAGCGAGGGAGCAAACAGTAGCGAGCCAGAGAGCATACTCACTGACTCATATAGCCTATGTATAGAGGATGTGTGTGAAAGAAGACAGAAAATTATATTATGTATGCAAGAGTTGTTCAGGGAGCGTTTTACGCAGCCTACGTGTGTGTATGTGTGTGTGTGCATGTTAAACCACAGCAACAGTACTGCATCCAGGCCATCCATCACCGCACTGATAAAATATCACCACTCACAGGATTTAAAATAACCAATTCAATATTTAATGTCCTTGACAATCTAGTGGTTATAATTCATCGTAAAAGGCATACAAAGTCATCGTTCTTGTGGAACCCCAGGCATACAATATTCATGTTCAACAGATAAATCGTAGAATTATGAGCTGCAGAGTACAACTGCTTAATTCATAGCTGTAAAGAAAGCCTAATCTTTTCTCCTCATAAACAATTCATGCAACGTACATAAACCTTTATGGCAGGTGCATATGTCCTGTCTGTGTAGTTATAAAACAGTAGATACAGAAGTGAAGTGTGAAGTTGGCCCCGTGCACCGTGTTTGGTCCAGCAGATCATAAAAAGAGGAAAACAATTTACATTCTACTTAAGGCACCGTATATCATAAGGAAGTTTTCTACTGTGTATGTCGAGTTAGTTTAATGACTCAGAGCTGATTAAAGATCGTTTATGTCCATGTGCCTCTCTCAGGGCCTGAAGGCAGATTTGACAGTAAACTATGCATCTTCAGCAGGTGACGTTCACACTGACTTCGGGTTCCATTTTGACAAGAGCTTCAACTAATGTTACTGTGATTATCAATTAATATGATTATTTTGTCTATTAAACTTTTAATTTTGGTTGATAAAATTGTAGAAAATTGTAGAAAATTGTAAAAAACGATCTCCTAAAGTCCAAGGTGATGTCTTCAAAGTGCCTCTTCAGTTTAATTAAAGGTATACTACACAGGATTTTCCTAAAAACACAATGTATGCACTCATACAGAAGTAATTCCCACTAGAAGTGTGGGGTGGTGTATTTTTCTGCACAGACTTTGACCTCTGCCTCCATTTTCTTAATTTCTTTGTATTTTCTGTGTTCAGGACATTTATGGGCGAGTACACCCACAGCACTCATGTGAGGTCATCTGGGGTTGGCTTTTACTTCCACTTTCGCTGGCGACCGAATTTACAAATTTTACCCAACAATCCTGCATAGAATACCTTTTAGAGTCAAAAAAGTAATTTTCTACTAATGGACTAATTGATTAATTGGCTGATCATTTTACTTTGAAACTTGTTGTTACGGCTGTGTGTTGTTCTGTGCTGCTGTCCCTTTTCCCTCCATTGTAGATCTGCCCAGGTGTGCAGTGCACCTGGCGTTGAGGAGGTGCCTAAGAGCTCCTGTGCCAGCAGCAGAGGAGAGAGGCCTCTGGTGTTTGTCCCGCTGCCTCTCAACATGGGATTTTTGTTGTCTTGTTTGCTTGTTTTATTTGTAATAAATGCAGTGGATTTGAGTGTTGGTGGTTATGTGGTTAGTTTGCCCCATAGGGCCGCCTAAGGGTGGGGCGTATCACTTGTAAAATGTTTAACTTTGCACTTGTGGGCTTAGTAGAGAATCTTTTAATTTCTTTCAACTAAAGCCAACAAGTAAAACAACTTATGAAACTTTGTGTTTTAACATGATAAACATGTTGGTGAAAATTGCATTATAAATTCCCTGTAGTATTACAAAATACATTCTAGTGCTGTCAAAAATATTGATTCTCAACATTTGAAATGGTTTCAATGCTCATTTTCAGCAGTATAATTACACCAGTATCAAATGTGCTTCCTCTCTCCTTGTCAGAGTTTACAGTCTTTCTGCTGTTCCGTTACTAACCAAAAAAAGAAAAGTTGTCGTCATGTTACAGCCGTGTTATATTTATTTTTTAATGCAAATTTTAACTTGTACGCCAATGTCAATTTTTTCCCATGGTGTTGAATCATATATTTTTTAAGGTATTGTATCAAAGTTAGAAATTCCAGTATTGTGACAAACTACTACAATCATTTCTCATCTTGAAAAGGATATAATATAGGCCCTTAGATTAAAGTGCATTCATTAAGAAAAATACACATATTTTTGATCAGATTATAATTTAAGTGTTGTAGGACCATTGTATGCTTTTGCACCTTAATACAGATCAGTATACGTGAACATAGTGTTTGTCATTGTGCTAAGTTAAGTTTTCTCCCTTTAGGCCTTCATATAAAAATGTCTTTAACCTGATTATCTTTAAAAGTGCATTTTATCTGAAATAATTTAAGAACTTAAAAACTTAAAAAACACAGACATCAGCTTTGGATGATAAGGCCATACGGCTAGTGCAAATCTCAGAGGTAGTGCACCAACTGTACTAAAGCTGCAGTTAGTAACTTTTATAAAAATTACACACTTATTGCATTTAAAAATTCTAAAACTTTTTGTCATATTTGCTGAAACGGTCACTAATATTCACTCAGTTGTACATGAGACGGATAATCTGTGAAAGATACATGTTGCTGCTCCTCTCAGTGCTTCTAATGGCATTCACTAGAATCCACCACAGCTGAAGGAAACAACCAATTAGAGCAGAGGAGTCTCCAACACAGCTGTCAATCATGTCCGTCACAGCTCGTGAACTGCGGTCAAACTGAACAACGCAGATCAAATATGAATCAAGATTCTGTTAATGCATTGCATATTTCTCACCTCAAATGTTTTCAGATATTTTAGTGTACAGTTTAGCTGTAAGATGAGAATGTTTGCTCCAGCTGCAACACTGAGAGCAGTTGAACAACAACCAGTCGAACCAACTGTCTGGTGTAGTGTAGTGTTTGGCTGTAAGAACAGAAGGTTTGTTCTGGTCAGTGGGTGGTGCTTCAGTTTGGCTCGACTGTTTCCAACATGGTGGCTGGGTCACAAACATTCTCATTTAACAGCTAAACAGTACACAAAAATATGTTTCTCAAAACATCTGACGTGAGAAATAGGCAATGTCGTAACAGAATCATGATTCATATTTGATCAGCGCTGCCTAGTTTCACAGGTAACATCAGCTCACTAGCAGTGACTGACAGCTGTGTTAGAGACTCCTCAGCTCTGATTGGTTGTTTTCGTTCACATGCGGTGAATTCCTGCCATTAGAAGCGCTACGAGGAGGAGGAGGAGGAGCATATTTTTTCACTCAATTGTCAGCAAATATAACAAAAAGTCATTTTTCTGAAAGTTACCAGCTGCAGCTTTAACAAACATGTATGTAGTGTTCTTACTCTTCTATCATCGAAGAGTTACTGTGCAGGCGGTCTCATAAAAACCGTCTACTTTGGAACCCCCCATGGCACAGAGGTGTAAGGTGTTTACTGGCAGACGACCAAAATTTAAACCCTTGCCCACTTTCAGGTCCCCCACCCCTTCAAAAATCCTCTCTCCCTCCGTGCCCTCTACCTTGGCCAGGGTGAGGTGATATCGTGGGTTGTAGGAGTTCCTGTGGAGCCAGCCCTCCTTCCTGTAGGCCTCCTGCAGGCCGCCGTTGAGCTGCTGGAGGTGAAGCTGAGGCTGAGGGCTCAGGTACAGCACTTTCCCGTTGAAATGTTTCAGCTTCACAGGGAAGGTCAGAGCCACCGGCGGGTTACGATCCAAACTGGCAAACCGTCGGAGGATCTCTCCAGCAGCGGCTACCTCAGCTGGGCCGGACAGATTCAGGAGGCACATTGTGACATGAAGGCTGGAGGCTGTATGCCAGTGAGGGGCGGAGGACGGTAGGAGGGAGGTGACCTCCTCCTGTAGCTGCTGGAACCCGGACAGGATGGCAGGAGTGTTGGCCCTGAAGGTGATGAAGTGCGTGGGTCGTTTTTTAGGGGGGCGACCACCACCGCCACTAGGCTTCTCCTCTCGCTGCTCCAGAGGTGCTGATGGATTCTGACCGATGTTCATGGCTCCGAGATAACTCTGTGTGTAACAGGAGAGAATGACTGTGTCAAACATGAACTGTAATACCAGAATAAGAATGTATTTCGGGGTGAATTGTGCTGTACCCACCAAAGTGTCTTCGTTGCCGTCCCAGCTTTCTTGCCATTCTGCTAAATTCTCTTCCTTACCCTCCTCTTTTACGCTTGCTTCTTCTTTGTGGGATAAAGACATTTGGTCTGTTGAAGCCTCAGGTCTAAAATCAAGACAGGTGAGTAAAATTACTCAAGGGGCAGTAGAGTGTCTCCTAAGATTACTATCCAAGTCACACAATATACAATTTCCTTAATGAAAAATGTTTTAAGGACACAATGAAATAAAATACATTGTCAAGTTCCAGCCTTGTGTTGTCGAGTTAACTTTTGTTATATACCATACCAAATATATTTATAAAGTACATATAAAAAAACTCAGTATTTTTATATCAAAATCTGTCTCATATATTCTATACATTTTTGATGACTCACCTTAAACTCAGTGGTGTATTGGTTTCTCCAGTAAAATTGGGGCAACTAGCTAATCCATCTATTAACATAAAGCCACATTTGGCTGTTAGCTTGTGGGTTGTAGTAGCTAGCAGAGCAATATGCTTTTGGTTTAATTTTATTTTGCCTTAATCTGGGTCAGAGGTGTATATTTAGATGTAAGTTGACCTTTTTTTTCCACATATCGTAAAGGGACAGTTCACCCCAAAATCAAAAATACATTTTTCACCTCTTACCTGTAGTGCTGTTTATAGGTCTAGATTGTTTTGGTGTGAGTTGCCCAGTGTTGCACATAGTGGCCGTAAAGATGTCTGCTTCTCTCCAATATAATGGAACTAGATGGCACTCAGCTTGTGGTGCTCAAAGCACCAAAAAATACATGTGAAAAACTCAACAGTAATGTCTCTTTACAGAAATCATGATCTAGGTATTCAAGATAATCATGTAGCAACTATTTTCTTTCTACCCAACTACACCCACCAACGTATCACTGTGGAGTCACTGGACAATCACTGGACGAGAGGCTTGTCAAAGCCCGATATGTAAACATTAATGGTGTCCTCCCCAGCTGAGCTGTAGTGTAGCTAGCTCAGTGGTGCTACGTGAGCTAGCAGTAGATGCATGCTTCCTTCTGCGTGACAATATGGTTGGCAGGTGTAGTTCGGTAGAAAGAAAATAGTTCCTACATGAAACTACTCACAACAAGGTCTGTGGATTATCTTGAGTAACCGGGTCATGATTTCTACAAAGAGACATTGCTGCTGAGTTTTTCAAATGCTGAGTGCCATCTAGTTCCATGATATTGGAGAGAAGGCAGACATCTCTACAGCCGATATCTCCAACACACATCAAAACAATCTAGACCTATAAATAGCACTACAGGTAAGAGGAAAAATCAGCATTTTTGATTTGGGGATGAACTGTCCCTTTAAAATGCTTTGTGGAGGATTTATATTAATTTTTCCCTCGTCCAGACCTCTACAGCTGTGTTGTGATGCCATATTTAGTAGGCCACCCACACTTGTGAGCAATTCAATCAAAGGTGAGGGATCTGATTTGAATCACTCTTGTACTAGTAACCCTTTACACACAAACACACACACAAACACAATTTTGTTTTACAGCTGCCACTGACATTTACCCTCATTGATTCATCTGCTGAGTATTTTCTTAATCATTTTGTCGATACAATGTAAGAAAACTGGGGAAAATGCCTGTTAGAAACTGAAAGATGTTAAGTATTCTGTCTACAACAAAAATACATCAAATCCTCACATTTGAACAGCTGAAGCCTGCAAATATTTTCCATTTTTACCTAAAAAATATATGTTGTTGCAGATTCAATATCTGTGACAACAACTGATTGATTGGTTGTTGCAGTTCTATTCCACGCTGATATACGTATGTCACATTGTGTAAGCTAAAGTTGCTTTAACTTGTCTTTCACTACGACTCTAAGTTGGCATTTACATGTATAGTATATTGCACAAGAAGACTCTTTATGTTTAAAGGCGTTAAAGACTCTAGTCCTTTTGTCTTCACCGCTGTGGTCAAATGTTTTGAGCCATTTATGTATTATGTCTCTTGTTTTGAACCTATTTTGTTTTTGTAGTGTCTTATAAGTCCATGTGGGCTGGGCACCTAAATTCGGTGCACGACACTCTTCTGAGAAAATAAAAATCAAAAAAAAAAAAAAATATATATATATATATATAGACGACATTAAAATGCTATTTGTTGTGTAGTGGAGAAGTTATCTGTTCTTGGTTAAATTCTGTTCTTGGTTAAATTCAAAGGATGAACATGAACACCACACCTCACTGCAGCCTCTTCCACGACACATTCTCCTCCTTGTGATTCCAGTTGTTCCTGAGAACTGTTTTCTCGACACTTTGGAGGTGGTTGTGTTGAGTCAGGGTTGTGAGAATTCATCTCACTCTGCTTCTCTTTCTCCAGATGTGTGTTCTCAGTGAGAGTACACACCTCTGTTTCACTCTCTTCCTGCACGCTGACTTCAGGTGGCTGCTCTTCTGTCGTTTTGAGGCCGTCTTGCTGTTGCTCTTGTTTTTCTGTGTGAATTTCAGAGTGAAAGAGTGATCAGAGTGACAGCGCTTCTGTCTTTTGTAAATGCTGTGTATGTAAGTTTGCTTGTGTATATAAGGTGTGGTACCAATAAATGGTTCTCTCTTACCCTTTACTTCCTCCTCCCCTCCAAAGGGGGGAGCCAGAGATTGTCCGGTGGAGCCAAACACCCTGTCAGTCCTGGTATGGCGGTCCCAGACGCGGTGCCCTCTATAGGTGAAGTACTGGATCCTGTGTCTGGGCAGGGCCAGCTCAGATGAGTAGTCACAGTCACAAGGGTTGGTGTCCCAGTTGAAGTCATTGAAGGGTCGCTCCAGCACACCAAGGAAGCGATCCACATACCCCACTACAAATTCTGATGCGTCCACCGATGCGTCCCACAGGATCCGGGAGATAACGTCATCTGCTGTGCGCATGCGAGGCTTTTTGTTAACCTCTGTGTTACAAGACATAAAAAAAAAAAAAAAAAGTTTTAAAACAGATTAATGTACGGAAAAAGTGAATCAGCCCCTTCAGAGTATGTTGTCATTATCAGATGTCAAAGGCATTCAAGCTCAATATGGAATGACCTTTTGCCTCATATTTTGGCTTTGCTGCCTTCTTCACTTTCTTCTTGTGTTTTTCCGTCTTTTCTCCATCCTGTTTGTCATCCTGGTCAGGTGATGCGGCCCCTGAATCATCTATTGATGGGTTACTGAAACGAGTTGGCAACAGGGGTGGAAAAAATGTCAGAATATACATGTCAGACATGACAGATGGAAAAAATGCTCTTAGTCTTAATTCCATTTCACACAGATTAACCTTCGTGTAGCATTATGAACTTTGAACAGCATCCATATTTAGTCATGGCAGAGTATCAGCGTCTGTCTGGTGTGCGAAATGAGCAGTGATAGACCAGTAGAAATAATACACATATTATACTTCTTAGATAGAACTCAGCAATAAGAAATGAGTATTCAGGTAACCATTAATTTAATGCTAACAGTTGTACTACAACCTCTTAAGTGTTATAGTTATTAAAAATAAATTATCTAGAAGTTAAAAAAAACACTTTTGAAAAACTTTCTGTAACCAGGTGCCAAGTAGGGCTTAGCAATATGCAGTTAAAGGATGAGTTCACGCTTTTTTCTGTTTCACATGCCCATGTCCATGACTAAAACCACAGTTCGTCACATTTATGAAAATAACTTTGAGTCAAATTTGCTGAAATTGCCACAATATTCTAAAAGAAGAACATGAGACCGTCAGTGAAAAAATTCATGTCCCTCCTTCTCTATCCACTCACTCTTATGGCATTTCCTATGATTGACCGTGGCGCACCAAAAACATTTACATGCGGTAAGGCCGTTAGAAGCACTGCGAGGGAATAAAGTAGGTAAAGGATTATGATTTTTCTCACAGATTATCTATCTAATTTATTGCTGTGTGAATATTGTGACAGTTTCAGCAAATATATAAAGTTATTTTTTTAATAAAAGTTACCAACTACAGCTTTAAAGAAGTATTTTACTGCTGTGAAGACGGTCTTTCCATAAAAAAGGCTGTCTACAAAGTAGAAAGATGCAAAAACATTTGATATTGGTGGTTGCTGGTGTGTGGAGAAATGTGAGTTGCTCGTCTCAAAAACAATATGGCGGCCGTCTGGTTATAAATGATCTCGTATTATAGTCACGCAGTGAGCTAAAATACATTTATGAAAACATTTGATGAAGGGAAAAGGCAACGCAGTAACAGAGTCTTAGTTCATATTTGATCAGCACTTAGTTTTAGCGTTTGATCTCAGTTTTTTTCCAGGTTCCCTTTTTCACAATACAGGAAACAATGCAATGCCCACTTCCTGTTGACAAACTCTTGTATTACAGCCAAACACTGTGCTGAAATATGCTAACATAATCATGGTTTGTATTTGATCAACACTGTGTGGTTTTACAATTTGGATCTCTCTCGATCCGCTTCTGCACTCTTTGTGTCCATGGTGGCGACTGGCATCCATAAATGAGGAAGTACAATCTGTAATTTAAGCCCTTGGGCCAGCAAAAATACACCAGATGACATGTTTCTAGGTGCTGGCAAGATCGAAGGAAGTTTAACACAGATCACTTACACATGCTACCCACGCTGTTACAATATGATACAAAGCTGGATGAAAATCAGCATAGTGTCCCTTTAAAGAGTTATTGGTGACTGAAATTATTGCACAGTGACGACTTTTGATTTTAAGATTTTAAAAAACGTGAACCTATCCTTTATCATTCAGGCAGGCATCTATGTAATGCTCACCATCTTGGTGCTACAATAAATTGCAAATCCATTTAGTGTAGTGATTACTATAAATCAATCATGTACATGTCAATTAACTAACTAAAAATATTAAAACGCCTCCTTTATCCCACTGGTGAGTTTGCTGAACCATGTAAGCTTAACAAACCTGTGAGAGAAACGACATCTGTTGCCAAAGTGACACTTTCCCATCAGGAAAAACTGGCACATGTTGACTCCATTCTCAGCCCGCTCTGCTGACTCTGTCAATGATAGAGCAACAGAGAAGAAGTAAGCAGGACAAACACGCAATGAAACTGTAATAAAAGCCTTTCAATATGGGCTTTGCATTTAAATTTAATCAAAGAATCACAGCAATGGCGAAATAGAAAAGCAGATCCCGGCTATCAACACAGCATCAACAAAGAACTGTTAACATGGTCACTCAACACGTGATATTTTGCCCTATAAATCTGCTCCAATATGTCAAGGGTCTCCATCATGTGAAGCGTAAGGACACCGATACGTAAAACATCTACGTCCACTTTCTTTACTCAACAGCCTGAAGGCCCCACCAGACAGTTGGACCTGGAGGAAACACTAAGTGAGAGTCTGGCAGCGAGCGCTAAGGGGGGTAGGTATATATAAACACAGGATAGTACATCCTGCCAGTTTATAGATGTTTTCACTAACTCTGAAAATACATATAATAGTGTGGCAGGATTTCTTTGAAGTGGAGTTATATGAGGTACTTATGCATAGTCAGTTTATTGCGCAGTAGATGGCAGTTGGCATGCTCCCAGTTTGGAGGAACAGACAGGAGGAGGGGCACAGAAGCTAAGCAATGTACTGCTGTAGATGGGTAACTTATAACTTTTGAGAAATCAGTATCATTTTGTGTACACAAAAGAATATTTCATCGCTTTACCCTCCCATCAGGCAGCCTTTTCTGACGAGTAACTGAAGCTGTTATCCATGATCTCATCAAAGACACCAGACTCCTTTTACCAAAACAGCAATTATAACCTGCTAAACACGGGAGCTGCTGGTCTATTGCTGCCTCTAACAGTGAGTTTTTTTGTGTTATTGTGTGAATTCAGTGTTAAAGGGTTAGTTCAGACTCACCAGTCATGCAATAACACAAACAAACTAGCTGATCTAGGCAGCAGTAGATCAACAGCTCCCATGTTCTGCGAGGTAAAATTACTAGTGGTTTTGAAGAGAGCATCGATGGATGTAATGACTTCAGTTCCCCGTCGAAAAGGTAAAGTGGTGGAAATATTCTATACCTTACACTTAAACTGATATATTTTCGGTGGCTTAAATACCTTTTGCTGCTGCTCTCGTCCATGGCAGTACATTACTTAGCTTCCATGTTGGTACTCCTGTCTGAGGGCGCGCCGATTGTCATCTACTGTAGATAATCCACTGACCTTAAAAAAGGACTTCATATAACCCCACTTAAAAAAATACGAACTATCCCTTTAAGCCAGCAGGGTGGATAAATGAAAATATTACTGTACAGTGTTAAGTCAAAGTCATACTCAGAGCAGGAAATGAGGTATTTGTCTCTGTTATTTGTGTTTTCGATACATGGTCGAGTTGTGTCTCCTATATGAGCCTCCATGTCAGTGAGTTATGTTTATGTGATAGATGTTAAATGCACAGACGTCAGGATATATGATCCCCAATCACATGTCCTCACAACTGAACTACATTCCTTCTGATCTGTATCAGATCTGATGTAAGACTGAGCAACTGAAATACAAAATAAATCTGTGATTTATCACGAAGAGGAAACTCACAGTGGAAAAAATGATAAACACAAATGTGACTTTCCACTACACTTCCACAGAGTATAACTCATGTAACAGGTGGCAATGAGTGGCCCTAGACGACTCAAATATCAGCCAAGTAGGTTGGATGCGGTTGCCTGTAAACTCAAACACATACCACACACCCTGCAATGCTATTTCCAGAGAGGAGAACTGGATGTGACTCACGCCCCAAATCCTTTAATTATTGGCTGTAATAATCTTCCTTCCACTGACATAGCACTGGCTGACACAGGTTTCCCAAGTCACGGAAGAACATGAGTAAAGTTTTAGCAGTCTTTCAATCCAGACGTTAGATCTCGGAAAAAGTGACAGGAAGTGACTGAGTGAAACATTAGTTAAGAAATTCTTTATTCCTCGGGAACTTTGTTTGGATTTGAGCCGGGTGATGCAAGAGAGGGAGGAGATGCAGATAGTAGATCTTTGTTTCCAACTGGATAAGAGGTCAGAGCCAATACTTGACTCACTTCCTGATTCCCCTGGCAAACTTTCAGCTGAGCTGCCTGGCTTGAAAATTAAAATGTTTACTGTCAGTCATGTGATCGATGCACTCAGCTGAACATTTCACGGTAAAGGTGTCCAAGCGCATGACAACATACAGTAACTATGAGCTTACCAGAAAGCAAATGGTTCACAGTAACACAGAAATGCACCACAGACGGAGGAATTTGATGACAGAGTCAATAACTTGGAAAAGACCCAGGTTGATTCCAGTAATATGAGCTACAAGCAGGTTTATACTGTAGATAACAGTCTCCTCAATATGTGATACAGTATATGGACTATCCTGTAATGTCTCAAGTTAATAGCCTTTGGAGACCCATTTGACAAACACCAAACAGTTAATGTGTCTTTGATTTACCTGCTGTGGCTTTCAGGGTGTCTGTACCACAGTGAGGGTCAGTGGGTACCCCTGCCTCTGGACCATCATCTCTCTGGTCCTCTGGTGGCAATGTTGGCTCTCCCAATCCGTCTGATGCCATGCTCAAAGCTGTGATTTAAAAGGCAACTTTACTTCAGAAACGTCTGCTGTGTCACGCTGGTGTTTACGACTATACTTGGTTGACCTGACAGTGGATGACAAGTTAAACGGGACACTCCTAAAACTGGAAAGCTGAGTTCTCAACACCGACAAAGTTAGCTAGCGTCAATGCGGAAGTTGATGTTTTAGCGTTGTACGACAATATAAGCCTTCCAAAATCCTAAAAACTCCTAATGAAAACAACAGTTACAGTTATATAATACATATAAAACAAAGCATATATTTTTAAATCGCATAAAAGATGTATTTTTTCTTCATATTCGACATACTAACCGAAGGGAAACACGATTCTGATTTTTTTGCCGCCCTTTGACCCCGAGTTTGTTGACGCGCACGGAATCATGGGTAGTGTAGTTTTTACGCGTCTTTCGCCTAAAATGCCTCTGTGGGCTCACTTTTTAAAACCTGATGTCCGCAAATGAATCTGTTTTTTGTTGACTTTCTTATCGCTTTCAAAAATACTCGAGATATTTTCGAAAGTTTCGTTAAAATTGCGAAAAGGTCGCGCGGCTGACAGCCATGCGTCATCTGTGCCCGAGCGCATGACTCCGCGTCATGTGACAGGATCTGTTGTTGCCAGCTAGCAGCAGCTGCACTGGAAGAAAACAGAGCAAGAAAAAGTGTAGAAAACCTTAATTTAAGACACTGAGAATTATGGATTTTACCGAAGCGCACTAAAACAAGAGTTGAGCTTGTTTTATGTCACTGTTTTGATATGTTGCTTTTTATATAAAGGCCTTTTTTTGGACGTTGCGACCAATGAATGTCCCTTTGTGAAGTAGCATTGAGCACCAGTCATTTGTTGAACTTGGCTCTGTGCTGAAGGTAAGACTATCCAATATTCATAGCTGTAATGACCCTGTGTAAACCCAGTGTGACCTAGTAATGACTGACCAGGAGCAAGTGTTATGTAATAAACTGCTTGTTAATGATCACATCAAACTTAGACACACTCAGTACAGTAAACATTTGTTAAACTTGTTATCTCTCTCTCTCTCTCTCTCTCTCTCTCTCTCTCTCTCAGATGAATGCTCTGGTTGCTCTCTGTCACTTCTGTGAGCTCCATGGCCCTCGCACCTTGTTTTGCACTGAGGCACTGCACCCTCCATCCCCGTCCCCCTCATCCCAGGCAGGTGCCCCTGTGCCCGGAGACAGGGACCGAGATGGTGACCGGGAAGGTGAAGGGCTGACCATGAGGGCCAACAGCTCAGCCTCACAGAGAGGAGAAATGTGTGAGGTGAGTGGAGAGAAACAGGTTGAGGACAGAAAGTCAGCTTATCAGAAACTTATCTCCACTTGAACCAAACTTCCCTCTCTCTTCCCGTCTTTTACATCACAACACTTAAGCAATAACTTCTTGGTATGCAGGTCAGTACATGGTCCTGTCATGTATCTCAGAGTCCTAATTTTCCTTTCCTCCTTGCCTCACAGGGATGTCGATCTCTTCCTGCATCTCACCCAGGCTTTGTGAGCATCGATGATGAAACAGGCATACGCTTCCTTAGCCACCAGCATCCCAGACAGCCACAGCTATTCAGCGTGGTCCGCCAGGCTTGCGTGCGCAGCCTCAGCTGTGAGGTAAACAGTGACGTACGTCTGCATGTATGTGTGTGTGAGTCACACATCCCATTCACTGAATAACCTTTTGTCGCCACATAGACTTCTACCTATTTTCTTTCTGTCTCTTTCTTCAGGTGTGTCCCGGTCGTGAAGGGCCTATTTTCTTTGGAGATGAGCAGCACGGTTTTGTGTTCTCACACACCTTCTTTATCAAAGACAGCCTGGCCAGAGGTTTCCAGCGCTGGTACAGTATTGTCATGGTAGCAATGGACAGGATCTACCTTATCAACTCCTGGCCTTTCCTGTTACGCCACCTTAGACTCACGATACAGAGCCTGCAAAGCACAGCCCTCAAGGTGGGTGCATAACATGTCTTTATTCAGTTTACTCAAACAGAAATACAAAGATTCATTCCACAGGTACCTATCAGGGCACCTAATGTCTTGGTAATGTTCTCTCCACCAGGTGTTTGACAGTGAACAAGGAGTTTGTCCCCAGCGAGCAGCGAGGATGAACAGTGTCTTCTCACCTGCAGTTTTCCCACACCAAAGGAGTGGCAACGCAGCCCGATCACTGACCTCTCTTACCCAGCATCCCAACCTCTGGGCCAGCCTGCACTCCTCCTTTAGCTGGTGAGTCGCTATCCTGTCAGCTCCACTGTGACATACAAGCTGTCGTCTGTAATGGCTCACCGTGACATGTGGATTTGTGTCTTCACGTTGTGTCCAGGCTGCTGAAAGCTTGTGGTAGCCGACTGACAGAGAAACTGCTGGAGGGAGCCCCCACTGAGGACACGCTGGTGCTCATAGAGAGACAGACAGGTAGTCACAACGAATGTGCTCACTCAAACCAGAAATATCTTATAATGCAAACTTTGATATTTGTAGTCAGGGTATCATTAAAAAATTACGATACCAGTAACCTTAAACCAGTGGTTCCCAACTGGTGCAACTACAGGGTCCAGATGTCTCCTCATTCTACAGCAGGAAACAGGACTTCAAAATAAAAGCTCTGTGCCGGAAATTCACTGTACTGAAAAAGGAAGTGTGTCTTTCACAAACTCAACATGTTCCTGAGTCACTTCTGGACCGTGACCCACCAGTAGGGAACCACTGTCTTAAAGTAACATGGCAGCATCTCAGAACAGTGAATTGCTAACGCCGTCAAAATACCGTCCCCAACCTCACCACACCACAGACTGTATTGGTTATTGCTGCTGCAGTAGTGGGCCAATCACATGTTGCGTTAAAAAACAAAAGAACGCTTGCGGTGATTGGCTGCGAGCTAAAACACACAAATGGTCTTATTTTCTAGATCTGGATACAAAAACTATCAAATGCAGGTGTCGTTTGACTGGAGATGTTTTGGTACCACTGGTACTGGATTATTTTTTGTCGATACCTCAAAGATCTCGAGTTCCGATACCCAGCCCTGTTTACAGTAACATAAAACTTATCAGGAGAAGAAAGATCATTTGCTTTGGCACGACTTCAAAATGTCTTGGCTTCCAGTTAAGGTTCTGCTTCTTGCTAGAGGATGATATCAGCAGATGTCATGTGTTTGCACAATGTGCCGTGGTTTTATTATCAGTCTGAAAAGCCTCCTGTGAACGTGTGATTCACTGGGTCAGTCAGTGCAGAGACACTCTTGACTAGAAAAAAAAACAGGGGCTATTCACTGAGCCATTGTAATCAAATGCACAGCCTTTCCAGAAAGTATTTACACAATTATTGGTCAAGATTTAGAAAGTGATTAAAAGATTTACAGAGATATTTCCGAGTCCAGCGCAGCTCTTAGGTTGTGGAATTTTAATACCCTGTCCCATTTATTAATTTTGTAAGTACATAGATTTTATTTCTGTAGCACTTTTCAAAACATGAGAAAATACAGTAAAATAATTACATCCTCAGTATTATTTCAAATGAAAGCAGTACAAATAAAAATGTCAGTTTGTATAAAACATTTTTTAAGTTTCTTTTCCTTTGTATTAGTAGTACAGACTCCGTCACCATGATACTTTAGGGGAAGCTGTTTCATCTTGTGCCAGCTCAAATATCTTTTAGTATTTTAATTGACATTAGTCATCAGTAGGAGGTGAGATAATACTGTGTTTTTTTTAGTTTGGAAACAGGATGTTTAGCATCATGGGCACATTACTCTATATATGGACTGTTGTATATGACCACCCCGTAAAAAAAAAGTCCTGTGGAATTTCCCTCGCACTGGTAATAACTGTCAAAACATTTGATCACCCACTATTTCTGTGTTTATGTCATTCTCTGTTTATTAAAAGAGCAAGAGGAGGAAATGAGCTGCTGGGAGGGAGCAGAAGGAGGCGGCTCTACATCACAGCGGCACCAATCAGAGAGTGAGCTGGGCCCTGACTTCCTGTGTGATGATGACGCAAAATTAAATGACTTACCCGGCCCAAAATTTAGGTCCCTGAGGCATTTGAGACAGGTAAACTTAGGTACTTTTTCACAACTGAAAACTGAAAAAAAAAGGAGATTAAAAAGCCCAGTTTTATTTGATTGGAGAGTGTATAGTTTTTAATGGTGTTTTGTGTCTGAGTGACTGATGGAAATAACAGTTTTTTAAATTGATCCAGTATTTTTTTGGCCCCAGATGTTTTATTGAAACAAGACAGTGATACACAGAGTTTGCACTCAAGCTTCAAGTCATGTCTCATGTCCTTAACTTTGACATTGAGTACTACAACAAGTGATAATGCGCTCTTCACCAAATGTAATTACATTTTAACTACAGAGTAATAATACGTTGAATTTATAAAAATCATGAATGCTTTTATACATTGTTTATTTGTTAAGCCAAATCTGTCAGAAGATGTTGTGTCTGTAATCAACTCACATGTTTTACGGACTGGAATTTGTTTTTTGTTAATCATCGCATAGTTTTTTGCACAAGACTAATTTATCTTTTGTATCATTTTTTCCAGTTGCTAAGAAACATAACATTAGTTCCTCGTGGTTCTTGCTGCAGCTTGACTGGAAGCTGTCAGATTGGTTCAAACTAAGTGGATCATCTGGGGAATTGAGTGTCGACTTGCTGGGAATGAGTAGTGTTGATGTTAGCTGATTCAGGAAATGAAGGGAAATTAGTTGGCACACTTCTCAAATAACATATTTTAAAATCTTTGGGCTTAAGGGAAAGGTATCAAGTGCATTCAAGTCAAAAGGATTAAGTCCAAGTGAAGTCGCAAGTCATTGGTGTATAAGTCCTAGTCGAGTTGCAAGTCTTTTTTGATTTTGTCAGGTCTAAAATCATCAAATTTGTGATTCAAATCTGACTCAACAACTGTAACTCGAGTCCACACCTGTGGTAGCCAGGATGATAAGGAAAGAGTGGAAATGTACAGTACATATTGGTCCAGTATTGAGCATGAGCGCTGCAGCTGGCAGCTGCACAACAGGCTGCAAAATCCAACAGACTCCACTTAAATAAACAGTCACTTTGTCCTCATAAAACACACCTCATTCAGAGTTGACAGGAACAAAATCAAACTCACAAAAACCACCTTAGTTTGTCTTTCCACTGCTCCAACAACCACAAACTCTGGCTTGGTTTAAATCAACCCTTTAGTCACCCTGTTAGATTGGAAAACATGCCGACTCTATACACGCTAAAACCATTGTTTATTTGGTTTGGCTGAGGTGATAGCAATTATGGCTCTGTTTGTGGTTAAACAAAAAATATCTTAGTTTTTAACAAAAAGTTCAGACACCTAGAATAACAATCTGAACCTGTCTGTGGCAAAAACAAACACTTTTAGAGGAGGTAAATTGACAATGTGCATATGCTCTGAGTAGTTGCAGCTGCCAGCTGCAGCACTCTCGCTCAATACTGGACCAATTTTTAAACAGAATGTTGTTCCTATCAGTCACCCAGACACAAAAACATAGAAAACAGAGTCCAGGTTAAGAAAAATCAAAGTTACCTGACTGTTAAAGAAATTATTCCACATCTATACACTCACTGTGTCTGTGAGCTGTTGCACATTACAGTCTGATATGTCTGTTTCAGGTCCTCGGAGCTGCTGAGTTTCGTCAGCTAGTGTGGCACGTGCTCATGGGAAATCAGGTCATATGGAGAGGCGCAGACCCCGGGCTCATCCAGTCAGCTTTTACAGTGCTCAAGGTTGTTTACTCTACTGCTGCCTCCCTCTGTGCCTCGTTAACAGTGCTAGTGTTATCATGATGTGGGTAGTTATCAATTAGGACAAGTGATAACACCTGTGACGGTCATTTGTTGGAAAAAAGAAAAGAAGCCAGCACTCACAAATGTCCTTTTAGTAAATTTAATAAACCAACTTAGGTGGCGTTACCAGAAACACAGACGTTTCGACAGAAAGTCTTGACTTTCTGTCGAAACGTCTGTGTTTCAAGTTGGTTTATTGGTTGGTTTCTTGGTTTATTAAATTTACCAGAAGGACATTTGTGAGAGCTGGCTTCTTTTCTTTTTTCTGCTGCTTTTGGCCGTGTACCTGTTGAGTGGATTTATTTTAAGAATGCTTGCTTCTTTCCTACGGTCATTTGTTGAGCCATGGTGTAAGCTAAATGCACCATTAAACTCTTAACAGTCATTTAACAGTAAACACTGAAGTTACCGACTGTTACGGTTGACACAGCCGCGTTTGACGTGATAGAAACTGATTGGGTTTCAGTTATTTCTCCACAAAGATATTTTTTGTGCATTCACTTACTTTTTTTTTCTAACTTCCAAGTCTTGCCTGAAGACATGTTATTATTTCAGCTACCATTACACTCCTTGAAATCGTCTTTGCCCGTACATGCTCCCCTGACCTTTTTAGTGTGAGATACACAAACGAGACGGAGCATGTAACTGTTTTCAGTAGACGATGAGGATTCCTTTTTACTGTGCAAAGATATTTGAGTGATTTTTATTTTGCCTGTGATCACTTTAAAATTGTTTTTAATATCTTTTTTGGGTAGTTGTAACTGATTATAATCTGATTTTACATGTTTTCAGCTACTTCCCACGCCTCTCTCACAGCAGTCATTTTGACTCGTCATTGGGGGAAACTAGTGTGACCAAATAACACTAACAATGATTCAGTTCTTTTTAGATGCCCCAGTAAGCCACAACAGTGTGATATTGAAGTGGCATACAGACTACCTGAAACTAAAGGAAACTAAATCCTTATTTTATTATTTACACTAGTGCTTTTCCTACTGCGACATATCAAAATGTCTTCTGTGCAAAAGGCAGATTAGCCAGAATAGCTGAGTGTGTGAGCAGGGCCATTTTTGTGATCTCAATCTTTGTCCTTCTTCCCATCAGTCTCTGCTCCCAGTAGGCTGTGTGCGTTCTGTGCCATACAGTGCTCAGTATGAGGAGGCCTACAAGTGCAACTTCCTGGGTCTCAGCCCAGATGTGCCAATTCCAATGCACGTCAGCTCCTCAGGTACGAGAGAGACTGCACTCACACTGTGATAGGTCACTGGATGAAACCTCAAAGAGGGCCGCTGGTACAAGTTGTAGGCTCGCACATGCAGGTTATCTTGTGTTGATTTTCCTTTGTTTGTTTGTCCTGTAGAGTTTTCAGTGTTGGTGGACGTCAGTTCAGAGAGGAGCTGTCAGAGCGCGGCAGTGGGTGAAGACGATATCTCCTCACTTTATCAGTTCACCATCAGCAGTGCCAACACGCAGCCCACAGACAGGGGTGAGTGGGCATACCTTAAGTTATAAATAGACACTGTATGTCTGCTGCCACTTTCAATGTCACAAAATATACTTTCATTTGTCACTTGATAGTGTATGTCTTTGCCAAGGTTGAGCTGACTTGAAATCATTTTAATCAATCACCAAAAACATTTAGAAATTTTTGATATTCATTTGGATGTGAAACTGCATCCACATACACATAGTGCTGTGATAAGTGAGCCAGATATCTTTTTCATTTAAGTAAGACCAGAGGTGAATGTGAAAATAGAGGAAAATGTTCAGACATGTCCCATACCAGGACCTGGATCCACATCAAAAACTGATCTGTTCTCTGGATTACAGCCTATCTCTCTACCAGCTTACATTCAAAACTGGTCTGTCAACAAGTTTTTGAGATAACACATGGTCAAAAGAGACCAAAAACAGCCTCTGTGTTGGAGGTATTTAAGTTGGCAGGAAACATGTGAAGGCCGACTATTAAAAAAAAAGGTTGTACCTAGACTTATATAATAGAATAACAATCACATGACAAACTGTCAAACTTCCTTTGGTCTCTTTTTTCAGGTCCCACGTTATTGAACAAGCTGGAAGTGGCTCTGTCTAATGAGAACTTGTCTGTGGACGTTGTGTCTCACTGCCTGCTGTGTCTGAAGGAAGAGTGGATGAAGTGAGTATAATTCATACATCTCTTACAAAAGGTCACCTGAGGTTAAAGGAGGCATAGTATACTCATTTTCAGGTTCATACTTGGATTTAAGTTTCTACCAGAACATGTTTACATTCTTTAATGTTCAAAACTTTATTTTCCTCATATTGTCTGTGCTTTAACACCTGTATTCACTCTTGTATCTTGGCGTCTCTGACCCTTCATTGCAGCAGGGGACTGTCTGTAATGGAGTTGGCAGCATATTCTACTGTAGAAAAAATCAGCAATAAAAACTTCTAAACACAACCAGGCATGTTCAAGCAGGAATATGATCCAAAATCTAGGAGAGATTAACAACATCAGCAACCAAAACTACAGGTTTCCCTGATGTTAGGATAAAGTTACATATAGCAGCATACATACAACCTGGGGATGACTGTAACGGATTATAGCCGCACTTTCTGCCATGAGAAGTCACCAATAACAGCTTTTAAACCAAAATCTTCTCAGCCAGATATGTTCCAGCAGGAATATGATCAGAAATTTGGGGAGGAATTGACAACATCAGCAACCAAAACTACAGGTTTGGCTGACGTTAGCATGTAGCTACATATAGCAGTATAGTTGCAGCCTGGGAATGACTGTAACGGAGTGTAGTAGCACTTTCTACTGTGGGAAAAAAAACACAATGTAAGCTTCTAAACACAACTGGACATGTTCCAGCAGGAATATGATCCAAAGTCGGTGAGAAATTAACAACATTGTCAACATGTGTCCCTGATGTTAGAATAAAGCTACATGTAGCAGTGTACTTGCAACTTGGGATTGACTGTCATGGAGTATAGCAGCACTTCTACCTTCATTTCTAAAAGCTTCTGGAACAAGGTTGTTGCAATCAGACATGTTCCAGCAGGAATATGATCCAAATTTAACAACACTAGCAACCAAGATACCATATATACCTGACGTTAGCATGTAGCCACATGTAGCAGTGTACATGCAGTCAGTGAATGACTAACAGATTATAGTTGTAGTTTCTACCATGAAAAATCATGGATAAAAGTTGCTAAACCAACATCTTCACAACTGGACATTCTCCAGCAGGAATATGATCCAAAGTCAAGGAGAGTTAACATTTGCAACCAAGATTACATGATGTTCACATGTAGCTACATGTAGCAGTGTACTTGAAACCTGGGAATGACTGAAACGGAGGATCCATGAAAAATCACCAATAGCAGATATGTTCCAGCAGAAATATAATCTGAAATTCGGGGTAAAGTTGACAACATCAGCAACCAGGTTCATATGTTTCCCTGTTGTTAGCATGTAGCTACATGTAGCAGTGTCGTCTATATAATGTAAACACTTGCAGTAGTGTGCCTGGAGCAGATCACCGCACAAAGAAATCCATCACAATCTGAAGTCAGCTTGTTTCGAAAGTAGAGAAAACTATTCATTTTACACACGTTTACTTCATTGTTTGAAACTTAGGCTACGTTTAATATGAACATCAGACTCTGCAACATTATACATATGACAAAAAAATAAGGAAAACCTTGATAGGTCCTCTTTTTGTAAGCCTCTCATTGCCAAATCTCTCTTTCAGTAAAGTCAAAGTGCTCTTCAAGTTCTCAAAAGTGGACGGCAGAGGGAGGGAGGACACCCAGAAGGTTCTGGCCCTCCTTGGCGCCACAGGGCCGGGTGAGGAGGACAACGTCAGGCTGCTAAAGTTCTGGATGACTGGACTCAGCAAAACCTACAAAAGTCATTTAATGACAGCCGTCCGAGGAGGGGAGAGGAGCCCCAGCCAGTGAGAGGAGGAGAAGGAGGAGGAGGAGGTAGAGGGGGTGAAGTAAATGGAGCTGAAAAGAGGGGATAATACTACTGAAGGGAAAGTGAAAGCAAGAATTCTTTCATTATGAGTTTTGTGAACACTTTGGGACTTTCAGTGGAATGAAAGAGGAATGTCAATAGATGACAGAAATGCTTTGGCTCATCCATTATTGTCTTTTTAAGTAATGAGAAATGTACTGTTCCTAACCGTGATTATTATCCAGCACAGATTAACACATACGGTCAGTTTGGATAATGCATGAGGGCTTTTGTTAGTCAAAGGGAATTATGGTTCATAGTGATATGTGAAGTTTAACTTATTACAAACAGACTTTGCACTTTGTTCACTCGTTTTCTGATGTTTTAAAATGAAAGAAATTAATATAATCGCTTACTCTGACTTTTTTTAATTCCACAATTGGCTCCATCTTGTGGCGAACAGGAAGAATAAAGAGGGAGTGAATTGGAGGAGGAGAGCAGTGTTCCTCTGCCAGCTCCCACTCACTTGTTCAAGTGGCTGCTGGCCAGCAAGCCTCAAGTGGTGTAAGACAACACTTTTAAGGTTTTCTGGTGTCCTGAAATGTACAAAGTGGTTGCATAACACAGCCCCGCTCCAGTACAGCCGACCACATCAGCAGGATTTTAGCTTCTTAATGAGCCAGTCACACAGCAATCCACTAAAAAGCCAAGTTTTTTTTTTTATTTTCATACCACAGTTACTTGAGCCTGTTGCGTTCCTGAAGCTTGCAGAGTTTAGTCAATAAAATTCAACAACATACGGCTTTGTTTAAATTGCTGGGGGGCTGCTTTTTCTTTTCTTGACTCGCACCCATGTAACAATTGTGTAATTCAAACTCGTACTTTAGTCCAAATTAAAAGGAAAAGTGAATTTGTAAATATTAGGATTGACTCTAGCTTTCTTCGTAAAACAGATCTTCTTCTCAGCATGGACGCATGCTACTGTGTCCTGATAGAGTTTTACTGTTTTTTTTTTTTTGTTTTGTTTTGCTTCTCTCTGAAAGCTCAAATCTGGATTTCATTTTGCAAGTTTCACTGAAAGAAGCACAAACATAATTTGCAGCAGCTCCGCAAATTAGTTACATATTGACTTTCCTCAATATGCAAGCGACGTATCAAACAGGAAGACGACACACTGGCTGGATATTTATACCCGTCATTAAAACACACAGTGTATGTGAAGAGGTTTGGAGTTGATGGTGCCTCTGGGAGTGTTAATGCTTTGCCTGTGGTGACGCTGCTGCTCTCTTGTTTCCTCTTCCCCTCAGCAGAGAAGGGACTTTGGGAAACAGTCTTGCTTCTTTTGGCTTGTTTTCAGAAAAAGGACACAGAAGAATGATTTCTCTTTAACATGAAGAAACAACTTTGCACTTCCTCCCTTTCGTTAGTAATTGAGTCCTCTTGTGACATCTAACAGAGAACAAAAATATCATGACGCCTCACACAACCTGAGGGGACAGAACAACACTTTACAGACAGGATGATGACAGCTGTGCACAATATTAGACGTCACGGTCACACCAGCCGCCTCTGTGGAACTGATTTGAGGAGAAATGACTGCAGAAAGCTGTCACACATGGAATGACTTGCAAGTTCTGGCGATGTAGTGTTGCAATCCTGTTTATAAAGGAATGTGATTCTTGATTTATTAAAAAAAAAAAAAAAACATCATGTGATGATTAAACAGGATGATATTGCGCACTGGCTCTAGAGGGATAAAGACCAGGGGATCCACAGGCACAGAGGTGTGGGGGAGAGTCCAAATGAAAAACATACGCTCCAACTGCATGACTAAGCCTCCTTGGGCCTGGTTTGGAGTGGGGGAGGATGGGGGTGAGAGGGTGGGTGTCAGGGAATGTGGGGAGCAGGGGGGAGGGGGCCGGGTCGGTCAATAGTGAGGTAAAACGTGTGGCGGTGGGAGGGGCCGAGACTTAAAGGGAGCAGACTAGAATCCAGCAGGGCACTTTCACTTTGAGCGGAGTGAGGATACACAGAGTGGCCAGAGGGAGAGATAGAGAAGAGGAGGCCAGTGTCTCTCTCGCTTTATCCATTAACCAGTTTTCGAGGGAGAGAGGAGTGGTTCAAATTAGGCTGTTCAGGAAGATTCTAGGTCAGTAGTGAGAGGGAGAAAGGGAAGGAGATATAGTACAAAACAACAAAAGCTTTCATAGGAAAAGGCTGCAGCCACTCAGACTTAAGTGGGAAAATCCAAAGTGAGGGAGCAGGATGGCGTGAGAGGATAAATGAGGCATTTATTGGAAAGTACCAAAGGGACTCAAAAGGAAGGAATGTATAAGGGATGTCAACAAGAAGACTAAATATCAGACGGTGAAGGAGAAGACACAGCAGCGCACTCTGTATCAAAGACCTCAAGGAAAACCACAGAGGAGGAAACTTAGCTTTCACAGACTGACACAGAGACCCGTCTGCAGAGTGATTGCCGTCAACAAGAGAAATGGAGAAGTGTCCATTCTTAGAAAGATAGGAAGGATGTCACTGCCAGGTGAGAAACAAACACATTTCTAAACTTTACTTTTCAAAGTCTGTTGGGGGAAAAGGGGTGATTTTAGAAGTGGTTATTGTATATTCCTGCTAGGTCAGTGACTCAAAATTTGTTGTGTCATTTTGCATTGTCACGATAGCATTTCCGGTGTCTTAATTCAATTAGATGTGTTGCAAAACCAGGCCATATTTCATGTTGTTCTCTGCAGAAATGGCTAATTGAGGCAGGAAATGATGTAATGCTTTTTTTGTAAGTATGCAGTTTGAACAAGCTACAAAAACCCCAGAAAGTTTCCAGCAATTATCTGAATGTGTTCTGTCTCTTTTTCTCTTTTACTCATGCCTCCTACAGTTTTGCTGTTGCTATCACTCTTGACTGTCCGATGTGGTGGATGTAACTTTGACTGGGACGTTGTGAAAAACATTAAAACGACTATCGACGCTAATCCGACTGGATTTGTAAGTTACCTTTGACTTGATTTACGTTTTCATGTCATGCTTTTGGTGTTTCTGAGGTGTGCTCTCTGTGGTAATCGTATGCTCTCTTACCAAATGTATTTACTACCCTTTAAAGTAGGCAGTCTCTTGTATTATCTGCAGTCAGTTGGCACAAAGAGGTGGTCAAAGGTGAAGATCTTACTCAGATGAATGAGAGTATTCAGCTCTGCCTTGTTATCTGACAACCTGTAGAGTTAACACACGGCAAACAGTGTTTACAACAGACATGCCTAGCCCCATAAAGTCAACAAACAGTGTGTAGTTTCACCTCAGTGGTTAGATATGTTGTTTTCCACATTACTACCCCATTCCTTTCAAACTCGGTCATTACTATGGTTCAGTGGAGTACTCATTAAAGTGTAAATGCTAACTCATTCCATCGTGTGGGTGTATAATCATGTTTTTCTTTGCTTTTGCTCTCTCTTCCAGCGGACAGTATTTCCTAAAGATTACTATGTAGTGCACCGCTACACGAAAAGCATGCTCTGTGACAGTGATCCGGTGAGTTGCTTATCAGATAAAAAGGGGAAGTGGGGTTTTTGTGCAATAAATGGTCCACATATCTTAAAACAGCAGCCTTTTGGTTTCTTCAACAAGGAAAATCGTTACCTCCTACCTCACCTACAGCTACTGTTACAGCCTTTGTAAATGTTAAGTCTAGCAGAAAGATTGTCGTGCCATGTTGTTTTGAGTCTCGCTTGTAATTGAGTAATTGATGTGGTTCTTGCAGTGGTTTCTCACATGTGTTTTGCACACTTAAAGCCTAACTTTGGGGTTGCTGTGTTGCTCTCCCTGCAGTGTTGTGTGTTCCCTGCTGCAGTAGTCCTCCTGGAGTCCTGGCATGTGCTTCTCGGAAACCTCTGGGATGAGCACCTAAATCACTCCTTAATCCTCGATCTGAAGCAGACACTGGATAAAATTATAAAGAGGAACAAAAATACAGAGGTAGGGACTTGCTTTATTTTGTTAAAAAAAAGTGTTGGTGCAGAAAAGGACAGAAATATCTCTGGTTGTTTGACATGCAATGCATTCTTTTTTTTTTTTTTTGTTTGTTTGTTTCAAATGATTATATGTAAAAGTGCTCCAGAACATCCTGTGAATGTTCCTTTGAAAGCCTCCTCTTCCTCTATCAGAAACCCTCATTTGTTCCTTGTTTCCTTTCCTCAGAGGTTCCAGGAAGAGACGGACCTGTCCCAGTTCTCCGCGTTATCTTCCTCTCCTGAAGAGCTCCTCAAGCTAACGTCACAACTTCTCACTCGATGGCTCGAGGTCGGGTGCTTGCCTGAGATCGAAACCTGCACCCTGCCCACTTTGCCCCCCTCCGTTGAGAGGAAGGACTACGGTCCGTCGAGGGCCAGACTCTTGACCACCCGAGCTATCAGCAGCGAGGAGGAAGGACAGCTTGAGAAGATAGTAGACATTACAGGGCCTCTGTCCAGTGGCGGTTCTCCATCCCTATCATATTCCGCTTCTGTCTGGAGCCCCTTGCTATTCAGACTCTACTGGTGGCTGTTGCCATAGTTACTAAAAAAGGATCTTTTTTTTTTTTGGATGATGATGCACACAAAATGCAAGACGTTTCCTGGCACTGAATGTTTGTTTCCTTATATATATGTGTGTGTCTTTATCGTGTTTTAATGCAGCAAGCTATGAAGTGACATGCACAGGTTGCAATTAATGTCCAAAGTTAGTTCACGTAGTCCGCTGTGCACCCGTGCTCTGTAACATCACCGATATAAACGTATAGCTATCCTCTCTAGAGCGAGCCGCGAGCTCCAGCTAGCTGTGCTCTTCATGCTAACCAGAGATAAATGCTGAGCAAGCCAATGCACATAAGCCATCGTCTGTTGATGTGGAATTCATCACTGTTTACAATGAATGTTATGTAAATGTAAGATATTACCATCTATGGGTGTTTACTTTTGTACATTATTGTAAATTAAAGACATGTAGATATATATATAAATATATACATTGTTAGTTTTTGATATAATATCCCAAGGGTTGTAAGCTATATTTATTATGGTCTTTGCTGTTTGTCATGAGTGATGGGAAGTAACCAAGTGCGTTTAAAGGTCCAGTGTGTGGGATTAAAGGGGAATCTATGGAGCGGACCCTCTCCTATGGAGTCGGCCATGTTGTTTCTACAGTAGCCCTGAATGGACAAATCAAACACTGGCTCTAGCTAGGGCTATTTGTGTTTTCACGTCAGCCACCATAGTTCCCCTACAAGTTTGTTTCAGTTCTAAAACTTCACCACTAGATGCCACTAAATCCTACACACTGGACCTTTAATGAACAATTTTGAGGTATTTAAACATACTTAACTTGAGTACATCCATTGTCTGCTATTTTATACTTTTACTCAGCTATATTTTAGAGGGAAATATTTTTCTTTTTACGCACGACATTTATCTGACAGCTGGAGTAACTGCTTTAATTTACAAATATGATGTGCTGTTATAAATTAACCTACGCAACAGTCGTGCATCGACAGTACTAACCTCACAAATTTATGATAGTGTAACAGTCACTTTGAGCGTTTTTCTCTCTTTTATGTACTTTTACTTTTGATCCTTTAATATATTTTACAAACAACGCTCACATACTTTTACCAGAGGTGCAGACTCGAGTCACAAATTTGATGACTTTGGACTTTACAAAATCAAAATTGACTTTGACACCAATGACTTATGACTTCACTTGGACTTGAGTGTTTTGACTTGATACCTCCCCCCATGGCAAAATTATGGACATAATTCTCACATAAGATGAGATTAAAAAAAAAACAAGCAAGACAGAAACATACAGCATTCATTTTGTTATGGTTAATAGTGCTATATTAAAGTGCAATGTCAGTACTAATTTTTTATGATCAGATTCAGTCGCACTTGTTTTAATAAACTTGTTTTAACAAACACATTTTAAGAAGCATTCATGATTTTTGTAAATGTTATGTATCATATTTCTGTTGTTAAAATGGCATTACATTTAGTGAAGGGAGCATTATGACTTCTTTGGGACTTTAGACTTAACGCTTAGGACATGAGATTTGACTTTGGATTTGTCAGTTTTGACTGTCTTGGCTTGGGACTTCAATTTAAAGACTTGAGACTTGCAAAACTGTGACTTGGTCCCACCTCTGACTTTTACTTCAGTGTAATTCTGAGTGCAGACTTTTATCTGTAAGAGTATTTTTACATTGTGGTTTTGCTACTTCTGCTTGAGTAAAAGATCTGTTTTTCAGTAAGAACACTTAGATATTTATATTTTTGTCCAATCTGGTCAAACAAGTCAGATTTTGTTTATGATTTTAACATTCCAGCGACATGACACAGAGTTTGTGCTAAGAGTCCACATTCATGTGAGCTCAGACGTTACTGCCGGCTCTTTTAAAGACTCATCCCCAGTGTGCAAATGCTTTACAACTATTTTGTAACTGATAAAAAAAAGAACTGCAAGACGATTTGCAGATGAGGAAGGAATGTGCTCTGGATCCAGCAGGACTCCAGAGATGATCCGAGGCCTGTCAGGATCTACTCGAGAAATAAAAAGTCCACCATTTGGTGCTTGCACTTGCCCCTGCTTGTACACACCCACGCATGTAGGTCTATTGTGCACCGCTGTCGTCAGAGGATCCTCCTTGTAGTTTCATAAGGCTTAAAATACAGAGGTATGTAGCTCTGGCAACTATGGGAACAAACTTTTGGCTTGCACCTCGAGTTTTCGCTGACCTTTTTTTCCACTGAACTTGTGTCAGAAATTGGGAAAGGACAAACGTAACGCAGCATGAATGCAGATTACAAAGAGATCAACAACAGTGCTAGAAGACAAAATGTTGGACATATTATGAAAACAAAAATCAGGGCAAAGGCTCAAATGCTGTTCTTCTGGACAGTGCACATGTCCAAGTATCTGTTCCTGGCGTATACTTCAGGAAGAAGAACTTTATTAATCCCTCATTTGGGAAATTCAATTTGCACAGTCTGATATTTACACTTTAAATATCCAGGCTGTGAGGCTGCTGCCAGATTAATTGTTTCCTATCAGTAATCCAGGGGCAACTGACCTCAGTGTCAGTACCAGGCAGTACTGCTGCAGGTCGCACTCATGTTGCATTCACTTGAACTTAATATAATAATGTGACTCAGCCAGAGCAGGTGTGAGATCCTTTCCCGGGTCAGCAGCACATGGACATGATGACCCCAAAATGTGGAAATGAGTCATCTGATTTCTTAAAACAACGTCGTTCTCCGGAAAGTGAAGGGTGCCCCTGAACATGCACTTAACTCCTATGAAATCTGAATTAACATTTATATTTTAGCATCGTAGTTTGGGCAATTTCCGAGACAAATATTTGCAAGTCTGATTTTTCCTGGCAGCCGAGCACCAAAGGGGCCAGCTGAATTCCCGTAAATGGGGGGAAGAGACAGGGAGAGTGGGCGAGACAGAGAGAGAGAGACGGAGAGGGAAAGACAGGGTGGGTGGGGGCGAGGCAGCAGCGGCAGCAACTGCAGCAGGGGAGGGGTGACGGCGCAGGGTGTTTAAACCACGTGGCCGCTCCACAAACCGGAAGTAAGCAAAGATGTCTGCGCCCGATGAGGACACGTTTGCCGAGGAAGGAGGCGAGATGGAGGCGATGGACGAGGCTGGCAGCGACGATGATGAAGGAGTGGACATGGAGGAGGAAGGTGCAGGAGGAGAAGGGGAGAGGAAAGTGTACGTGCCCGGGATTGAGCCGCTGCAGCCCGGAGAGGAGCTGGAGATGGACCGGTCTGCGTACCGCATGTACCACGAGTGTCAGACAGGCAAGATGTACAAAGAGATAGCAACTATTTAAACACGCAGGCACCTCTTTAAACGTGTTGTCACCACACATGAGCTGCAGCATGAACTGTTGTGTGTGTGTCCAGGTGCTCCGTGTCTGAGCTTCGACATCCTGAGAGATGGAGACGGAGACAACAGGGAGCAGTTTCCTTTGTCCATGCTGCTCTGTGCAGGCACACAGGCGGACACAGCCATGAGCAACAGGTACAAACCTCCAATCACACTTCATACACACCGTCACACAGGTTAGCAGGGGCGGAGCCAGGAGGTGTAAACACTGGGGACTCAGCCCAAAGGAGGTCTGGGGGGCATGCTCCACCTGGGAAGATTTATGGGCCACTCTATGCACTATTTTTCAAAGCCAGTTGATAAAATAGGTTACCCAAAAATGTGTGCATCATTTGGATAAAAAAATATAAGTTACTAAAGAAAAAAAAAATCATATTGCAAAGGCAACATCAGGGATAATGTTGACAAACGGCGTTCCATACTGATACTTTTTTTTTTTTTTTTTGCAAATGGCTGAATGAATACTTCTAGGCAATGATTCAAAGTTATATGTGTTTCATCTTCAACTCCCCCTCTATCATTTCCAAGCAGTGGTCGGAAATGATGGTTTAGTGCAGTGGTTTTCAAACCTTTTATGTCCAAAGCACACCAAAGGTCAAGCCAAAGTCTCAAGGCACATCTGTTTTTATATCTGTGCACAATAGCTTCAACACTTGTGTTATCACTCTTATCACGACATAAGGACTTAAGACAATAAGAATAAGGAAAAAAAGAAGGCCGGTAGCTTTAGCTGGTGCCTTGCTGTAATTTGCTCCGTACAATAAAGCTATCTATTGTCCCACTCATGGCTTTCTCCTTTTAATTATCATCCCTCACAGTGACTGCCAAACAGGGCTTTTGATGTGTCACATATTTATAATTCCCAGGCACAAACAGAGACAAATAGGTTCCCCCTGAAGATTTTTGAAATTAAATTAAATTAGATAATCATTTTTTAGCTAGAGTTTGCCCCTTTATTAGGAAATGGGTGTGCACAATATACTGACAGTCAATAAAAAAACTCATAACTTTTTGTAACCATAACCATTTGAATATTGCAATAATAATCTGCAGTTATCACAAAATCCCACAGCACACCAGTGTGCCGCCACAGCATTTGAGAAACACTGGCTTAATGTATTCATGTGAAGTTTCAGTAAGCTTTCTAGCTGCGCCCACAGCATTGATAATGATGGGAGGAGATGATCCAGTCCCGACCGCAGCTTAAAAGATAAGATGACTAGAGCAACAAAAGCTTACATTTCAACATTTTAGGCTTCTCACAGTACTGTAGTCTATATGAAATGATTATCATGTTATCACAAGTTGTTAAATATATTACCTTTGGTTAAATAAATGTTTTAAAATGGGCATTTTTAACGTCTGTGCCAGGCGATGACTGCTTGGCAGCACCAGCAGGGAGCAGCTGCAAGTTTTGGGGTATTTTGTGGTTTGTTTTTTAAACTTTATTGAGACAGTAACATACAACAAGTTTACAAACCTAAGTTGTAGCTGCAAGTATAAGTAAGTAAGTAAGTAAACTTTATTTATATAGCACCTTTCACAGGTAAAAACCACAAAGTGCTTCACAATAGATTAAAACAATGACAAAACATAAGAACAAAGGTGCATAGATTTAGACAGCCAAAAAACCCCACATTTAACCAAATACTTGTTTAAATAAAAGAGTCTTCAAATGCTTTTTTGAAACAGTGTGTCAAAACAGATGCTGTTTGCATGTCACCCTGCTTACAATGATGATGATAACTGATTATGATTATGATACATTTAAAATATAAAATAGTATCAGAAGTAAGTAATGGTGGATAATAAAAATAATAATAATAGATAATATTTCTTGTGTTTTGTGACATTTTTGCTGTTGAAATCATGTTCTATGAGCTCAGAACAACGTTGGTCACCTGTAGGGAACACCGATGAGACTCTGATTTTAAGAGTCAAAGGTGGAGGTGTTACTCTTCCACACTTTTCTCAAAAACTATTGGTCCAAAAGACATAACTCAAAGTGTGGACTGTCTTGTGGATATTCCCCCGGAGAATGAGCTCACAAACATGCTTGTCTGACCCCTAACAACAGACAAGTGCTCACTGACATGCACTAAAAGGCGAAAAGTGTACAGAACACCATTAGTCTACGTAGTCTAGTTACTCAGTTTGCTTTGCCCGGTGACCACTTTTGCAAAATGATAGAGGGCCAGAAGCCACTTAATAAACAAATCTTTTTTCAAAGATATGTTTATTAAATAGACTTGAAATCATGTTGTAGACAGTACAGATACTAATTGAAAAACAGTTTTCTGAAATGTGACATTTTTTCAACCCCTAAACAAACATAGTTACAAACAACACACCCATCACCCCAAAATCACACTAAAGGCCCAGAAACACCAAACTGACTTCAGATAACTAACGGCAACGAAGGCCCCCTGCTGTGTCGCCTCATGTCACCGTGTCTCGGCCCAAAAGTTTGCACATGAACACACCACAGAGACTACAGCCGATAGTCAACAAGCACATACTGTATGTTCTGCACCTGTGTGAGAGGATATAACTCTCCATATGTGAGTCAGCCAAAAAAGAAAAAAAAGGTGCCATCTGATGTCTTAAACATGTTGTGACCCTTAACATTCACCATCAGCCAAAAAACAAAACTTTGTATTTGGTAATACTAGTTCTGTACAGTGTTTAAGTAATTTGAGTCTAAAAGTTTATGCAGAAAGAACCTAAAGAGAGGACATTGGGTCTGAAATTGTATACAAGTTAATTACACAGATATTACCTATCCATGAATTTATTTTACATTATTACAGGCAAACAACCTGTCAAATTCTGTCTAAACATTCGTATTAATGTAGCAGTTACTTCATACGAGGTGGATGATGTTAGTAACGTCGTTCACATCATCGGGACAGTTTTACGACTCTTGAGTTTACTATGTGAGGAAATACTGTGCACTGACAATATCACAAACACCATAAACATCTAGTTTATAACGTGTGGACTTTTGGCACAGATATAAAGTTTGGTGACCTCACACAATTCCCAGCATAGCTTCACCTGAGCAGAGGCCAAGAAGTGTGTGTGTATGTGTGCAAGACGTTCAGAAGCAATACCATATTATAAAATACTCCACTGCAAATAAAAGTCCTGTGTACAAAGTGTAAAGGTGACTCTGGATTGGAGCGAAATCAGAAATCAGTCAGTCTGGTTTCTAGAGGGCTTCTGTTAATAAGAGGCGATGAAAGTGTTCAATTACTGTCGTTAATTTTAATTATTAATGAAGTGGTTGTTAATTGATTTTCCTCTCCTCAGGGTGAAACAGACTGTTGACGCTTCTTTATATCTAAGAACACATTAATTGGAAATCTTTGATGCAGTAATGAGACTTTTAGTTGCTGTTTCAGTAGAAGGTAAATCAACTGGAAAGCCCACCTGTTCAATGGCCATATAGACAGGACAGCATCAACATGCTCATACCTATCACTTTTTAAGATTAGTCAGCAACAGTGATTTTCTTTTTATTATTTTATTGTTTGTTTTAAAGGGACAGTTCACCCAGAAATTAAAAATACATATTTTTCCTCTTACATGTAGAGCTGTTTATCAGTCTAGATTGTTTTGGTGTGAGTTGCCGAGTGTTGGAGATATCGGCTGTAGAGATGTCTGTCTTCTCTCAGATATAATGGAACTAGAAAGCACTCAGTTTGTGGTGCTCAAAGCGCCAAAAAATACACAAGCTGAGTGCCATCTAGTTAAATTTGAGGGAAGGCAGACATCTCTACGGCTGATATCGCCAACACTCGGCAACTCACACCAAAACAATCTAGACTGATAAGTAGCACTACAGGTAAGAGGAAAAATATGTAAGTTGATGCTGGGGTAAAATGTCACTTCAAAGGACATTGTGGAGGATTCATTTATTAATTTCTCCCTCGTCCAGTCCTCTACAGCTCTGTGTTGTGATGCAATATTTGCTAAGCCACACACACGTGAGCAATCTAGTCAAGTATAAAAGAACTGATTTGAATCATTCTTGTAATTAAAAATATGTATTTTTGATTTTGGGGTGAACTGTCCCTTCATGTGCTCACATGCAGTGAGATGTCACCAGCAGGGCACGTTATTGTTCTTACAGAGGCAGTAACTATGGGTGCTGGTAGAAATACTAAAATGTGCAAGCTTAAGCAGCAGATTGTTTTGGCAGTGTTGGCACCGAGGCATCAGTCACTGCACACTTTCACTTTTGTTTTGACACAATCCACACAGCACTGAAAGAGTCTGGAACTTTCCTCCCTCTGAAGGTTCAGTTAAAGGTTATTGCAAGATCATTGTTTCCTCCTTAAACTTGAGCACAGACATCAGACTGGGTAGACTAAACACCACTCTGAAACAAGTGTCAGATAGTTTGTCATCGACATCCTCTTTAATGCATCATTTCATTTTCTTGCAGACTTCTTGTCATTCGCATGCATAATCTTCATGGAACAGAGAAAGACAAAGAGGGTGAAGAAAGCAGCGATGAAGAAAGCGATGAGGAGGAGGAGGAGGAGGATGAAGATAAGAAGCCACAGATGGAACTGGCTATGATGCCTCACTATGGAGGGATCAACAGAGTCAGGGTGTGTAGTGTGTGTCAGTTTCTAGGCAGACGTGTATAAACTTGAGCCCTGTTTCCAGCGAACAGTACAAAACGGTTCTGTACGGTGCGCACTGTGAAAAGTTGTGGATGGTACCAATGGAAGTGTTCCGTACCGTCCCCATTTTTGGTCCCCCTTCTGTTGGGGTACCTAGCACACAGATCTGTTACTAAAAGGTGGAGCTGTGAACATTGCAGTCTGTTGATAGGTCAGTAGAGGACGGTCACTCTGCTCAGGGCTGAGTTGTGGCTGGTTTTGAGGCTCATGTAACCACTGTTCATACTGTGGAGAGTTTTATTTGTAGACTGTAAGGATGTTTTGCTGCCTCTTGCAGCAGCTGGAGTTGGAGAAAAAAACTTAATTCTCTAGGCCGACTGCCCGCAACTTTTAAGGTGGAACATTAACTTGTAATGTTACTCAATGCATGAGGTGACAACGTGAATCAGTCAACACACATGACCATTACTTTAGTTTTTATATGACATACACTTTTCGTAATGAGTGGATCTTCAATCGTTTATGTATATTAATTTCGGCCAGGTTATGTGAACTGCAGAAATTCTAATCTTCACTCAGAGAAATGCATGTTAGAGCGTAGTTCCTGTGGGCTGCAGCAACTTTAAACCCCTGAGCTTGCCTGAAAAGGACTGAATGCACAAACCCGCTATTTTTAAATATCCCATTAAGAGAGAGACTCTCACTGCAGCCTGTTTTATCTTGATCTGAAAATGTCCGCCTGCAACCTCAATCTGTGGACGATAAACGAGATGCAGACTGATAAAGTAGAAAATACAGCGAGTGCTGGACGGAGCAGTGAGCGACAACAACCCCGCCCACATTTAAGAGCACTGTTTGCGGTGGAAACACCAGGATCTAGGTACCATGTCTGAAGGGTTACTGTTGGTTCCAAAGGTACCATACTGAAAGTGTTTGGTGGAAACAGACGTTAGCTGTCCTTTCTCCTTTAACAGAATATTTTTTAACAATGTTTTATTGGGGTTTATAATTATTAAAGTTATTACATATAAATGAAAATGTCAGTCTTGGCAGCAAATATGGTGAACCATCAAATGAAGTGCATATGGGCTACCACACTTTACCCCACCCCCATTCCAGTCTTTGGTTTTATTAAACATTATCAACACTTTGCTTCAGAAGGGCCGCCAGCTTTCCTTTAGTGATATATGTACGTTTTTCCACAGCAACACATGTCGATAACTCCTTAATATACAGATTCATACTTGGTTTGTTCACATCTTTCCATCTTAGAGCTATTGCTATTTTAGCTTGTGAGAGACACGAGTGTATCAGTGCACAGTCATTTGTGTTAGTAATGAAATCTTTTGGATAAATACCAAAGATGCACAACTTTGGCTGATAAGTGATTTTAACCTCCTTCCAAAAACTTTTGACCACATTACATTTCAACAAGCAGCTAAACAGTGTTCCTTTAGCACTGTTACATCTGAAGCATGTGTCTTCATGTGTTCCTCATTACTGATTTTGCTTCTGAATTCCCAGGTGACCCGACATGGAGCGCAATCACTGGCCGCCGTCTGGTCAGAGAAGGGACAGGTAGAAATATTTGACCTCCAGTCACAGCTGGAAGCCGTGAACAGCCCTGCTGCCATGGCTGCTTTCCTCAGACAGCAGAAGGAGGCCACAGCCCTCTTCAGCTTCTCAGGACACATGACTGAAGGTTTTGCTATCGACTGGTCACCTACAGTGCCTGGTGAGTGTCTCCTTTACCTGCAGTTACTCACATACATTCTGACCTTGCTGAAGGTATACTAAGCAGGTTTGTTGGTTACTGTTTGTAAACACACTCACCAGTAAAAGAAAAAGCCGATCCCAGAGTCACTTTGTTTGGCGTTTCGCCTCGCTATATTTGCATTTTCTCAGCGCTGTGTCTCTTGGATGCGTGCTGCTTGCAGCCTGGCACCTGGTCGCTACCTTTTTACAAAATCCTGACCTCACCTGAGCACTGTGGGGGTGCACACCCGTAAGCGTTGCAAACAGAGACAAAACAAATCCTGCATAGTATATCTTTAAAAACTAACCTCGAGTGACCACCATATGTTGTGTACTGTAAGTGTAAATGTGTCCCTGATTGCACCTCGTCGACTTTATAATGTGTGAGAAACACGAGAGGAACAGTCTGTACCCAACAGAAAGTATAATTTTCTCTTCCTGGCTCTTAACAGTCTCTCCATCTGTCACCACAGTATCAGAGATTTCTGTGTAAATTCCCAAACTGTGACTTTCTGATGCCGAAAACAACAAAAATGTCCTTTTCACCACAGCCATGTTTGCTTGTTGTTATACAACAAAAGAGCTCATAAATGAGGAGTTTTAGATTTCGAAACATCTTTTAGCAATGATCCATCCACGTACAAAAAATTCCTTTACTTGGCTCATGGCTCAACTTTCTACCAAATTAAATTGAAAGCAGGATTATTTTACAACATGTGACACAAACAGGACTAAAAATATAACTTCCATAGCAGTAGGAAAAAAAACAACAACAACAGGCAAAACATGGTGTGATCAGCAGCAGTGTCATGGATACACACGCTATAGTTACAGAGCAGGGGTGTCAGGTTCAGTTTATGTGACACATATAGCCCTGTTCTTTTTTTTAAAAAGATATTTTGGGGGGGCATTTTTGCCTTTAATTGATAGGAAAGTTAAGCGTGAAGGGGGAGAGAGAGAGGGAGTGACATGCAGCAAAGGGCCACAGGCTGGAGTTGAACCTGGGCAGCTGCGGCAACAGCCTTGTACATGGGGCGCCTGCTGTACCCACTAAGCCACCAACGCCCCCCTGTTCTTTTTTTTTTTTTTTTTTTTTTACAAGTTTATTTGACAGGGACCATGTGTAATGAACATACATTCAATACTTAATAGCTAATGCATTATACAGGGATAAAGCTCAACACTAATATACATCCTCAGTCCCCGGGGCAAGAGAACAAATATACAATACAAATAATGTAATGACAAATATGCAGTGCGTCGTGTTATAAAGTACTGGTCACTCTGTTCATGGTCAGGTGGTATTTACTTTTGTAAATAAAAATAAAATGTACATTTGTTAATGCAAATGGGTGATTGCAGTTTTGATTTTCCTTAAACTGCCCTTTTAGCACAGCAGAGAAAGAATAAAAATATTATGTTTTAATATGAAGGGTGAATGAGTTCCAGTTTTACATGCCGATGACAGACGTTGCCGGAGGCATTATGTTTTCACGTTGTCTGTCCCATTCTCGTGAACATGATATTTCAAGGATGCCTTAAGGCCCAGACACACCAAACTGACTTCAGAAAACTAGCAGCAATGAAGGCCCGCAGCTGCGCTGCCTGTCACCGCCATGTCTCAGCCAAAAAAGTTGCACATGAACACGCCACAAAGATGAAAGCCATTGGTCAACCAGCACATATGTTCTGCACCTGCAGGAGAGGAAATAACTCTGCACACCAGCAGACGGCAGTCATCAATAAACCTCATTCAGAGAGGGAAACTTGAAGACCGTGTTAGCTGGTTAGCAAATTAACAACACAACCTGATGTTGAAAGAACAAAACATATTTACTGTGTGCCAGTGAACAATAATGCAAATCATCATCAATCGTTTCTGCTTAAAAACTCAGTGGCTAAAGAAAAACAATTGTTCATTTTCCGTAACCGCTTATCCTGTTGGGGGTCGTGGGGGAGCTGGAGCCTATCCCAGCTGACACTGGCTGACAGGCAGGGTACACTCTGGACAGGTCGCCAGACTATCACAGGGCTGATACATAGAGACAGACAACCATTCACACTCACATTCACACCTACGGGCAATTTAGAGTCATCAATTAACCTGCATGTCTTTGGACTGTGGGAGGAAGCCGGAGAAAACCCACTCTGACACGTGGAGAACATGCAAACTCCACACACTGGGTTCAAACCAGGAACCCTCTTGCTGTAAGGCAACAATGCTAACCACTACACCTTGGTGCAGCCTGAAGAAAAACAATCTTACCGTAACACGTTTGCTTTGGCATAAGCTCAAAAACGGCCCAACTTTGTCCGAAGGCCAACCGTTGGCTTGGTGTGTCAGGGTCTTTTAATGGATTTTCTTCAGATTTGGCACAAGCTTCCTCATAGATAAACTAATTAGATTTTGGTGGTCAAATGTCACCGTGATCTCAGCACAGGAATTCATAGGCTAATTAGGACAAAACTTCACACAGATGTCAAACAGGATAAAATGATGAAGTGATGACATTATATATCCAAAAGGTCAAAGATCAGTTTCACTGCGACACCAAAATGTTCTGAAAAAAAAACAAAAAACAAAAAACATTTCTGGCCATTATTTAGCAGGATAACTGAGGAACAGAGAGGTAGACATTTGGTTGGAACATCACTGTAAAGCATCCACGTTTTAGAATCTGTAGTTTCTTGAAGCAACATCCATATTTGAAGCACTGTCAACTGTCATGGTGACATGCGAGTCTGGACAGACATGGATGTAAACTGTAATTTGACCTGGTTTTGTGCCTTTAGATGGCCGAAACTTTGTGTACCTTGAGGGGGTGACGCAGTCGCTCCTAGTCAAGGTCCTCGGGCCAAATTGTGAGTGATTTTTAGACTAACTGTGTCAGAGGAAAATATTAAATTACATTTGGTAAGTATATTGCAGTGGTGGTGGTGGTGGTGGTCACGCTGGCCTGGGACCAGCTTGTAGTGCAAAAGGCCAGGTCAGAGAAGATCATGGAGTGTAGAAAATCTTTGGTAAATGTAGTGTCAGATGTGTCAGAGTTTGCAATCTTTTTTATGTGTGTTTTTAGTTAAAGTTGAAATTGGGTCTTGAGTAACTCCAAGTATTCAAACTGATCGACAGTTCCAATTTTTTTTTTTTTTTTTTGCCTCGAATGTGGACATCTGGATAGGATTGGATTTTCCGTATTTGATCTCCAGTGGGCCAGACAAGTAAAACCACCGCATAATAATCTATAAATAACAACACCTCCATTTTTTCCTTTTGTTGAGCGTAAAGAAGCACATTCTGTGAGTGTTCACCCGTTTACTACTATGAACAGCCTCAGATGTCTTAAGAAAAATAAGTGCTGTTTCAACAATATGTCTCAGTTTTTCCATATCCAGTCAGCCTCCTTTTCACTGTCATTACAAGTGCTTTTTTTTTCCCATACGTTTCCACTCCTGTGCAGAAATGCTGGCCTCACCGCACCGAACTGAAGATTGTTTGAAGATAGAAGTCTGAGACAGATTATTTTCTACTGGAGCTGCTGATATTTTGCACAGTGGTCCACATCTTTAAATAAGACCACAGAATGAGTGCATTGTTTTTTTCAGAGAGCTGTATTCTGGTCAGAGTGGAAAAGCCTTACAGCAGCACTTTACATGCAGTATCTACTCACTGTTTAACTTGCTCCTACAACCAATCACCTCTGAGCTTTCACAAGTACATCACTAATAGAGTGGTCACACATGAGGGATGCAGGCGAGTGACCATAGCTGCCTTAATGATATTCAAGCTGGATGTGAGGCACAAGGAAAGACAGTTTGTTAGCTCACGTTAGCTAGCTTGCTAATAAATACCTCTAAATATGATGTTATTGGTACATTGTACATTTTCATACATTCTCATGTGGAGCAGTTTGTATTTTCTCGGCCAGTATCACACAACATCAGCTGGTCTGACACAGCAACAATTAAAGCCTCCTCCACACATACTCCTTGGCTACTGGTTGAAAATACTGGTTGGATGAGGTGAAGTGTAACCACAGCAGATGTGTGTATCCCGCAGCCGAAAGCTAAAGTGTCGTGTTTGTGCTTTAATTAACAGGTCGCCTCATCAGTGGAGACTGCAAAAAGAACATCCATGTGTGGGAGCCAAGAGAGGGCGGGACCTCATGGCAGATTGACCAGCGACCTTTCAGCTCCCACAGCAAGTCTGTGGAGGATCTGCAGTGGTCGCCCACCGAAGCTACAGTATGTTTGTAGGAAAATAGAGACACAGTGGGTCAGACTGAGGTACCAGAGATGAGCTTTAGAGCTTTACAGGGCGGCACGGTGGATCAGTGTTAAGCACTGTCTGCTCACTGCAAGATCATCCTCTGTTCAGCCCCCACCTGAGGCTGGCATCTATCTGTGTGGGTTTACTAAAATAAAATACAAACATGTAAAATATAAGGCGTGCATATTGGGATTTACATGCATGTTATGTGTCCACACTGCACCCTGACCTCAGAGCAGGAGTTGCCTCACTGATCCCAAATATTTAGGCTGATTCAAATGCAGAGGATGAACAAAATGTATGGTTCGGTGTGACAGACGGGTCACGGTTCGATAGAAAAATCAGTGGTTTCTTTCTGCGTTACTTCTGACATTAGAGCACACAGTATCAGTGTCATTTCTTTCGCAAATAGTGTGTGAGCAGTAAGTTTGCTACGTCCCACATCTCTCTGAGCTCTTTCAGTCTAATAAATACACAAATAAACATCTCTCTTAGATGCCACAGTCGTATAAACACAAGCTAAACTGCTGTCACTAATGTACCTTTTAGTCCTTCTTTCTGGCTGAATCGGTTATCCAGCAGCCACTGCTCACTGCGGTGGGTGTGGCTTTGTGCTAACGTTAGCTGCTGAGCGAGAGGCTACAGCCGTGCACCGGCTCTCGTTCCCTAGTTAGGAGCGTGTGTGTGTGTGTGTGTGTGTGTGTGTGTGTGTGTGTGTGTGTGTGTGTGTGTGTGTGTGTGTGTGTGTGTGTGTGTGCTGTGCAATCACTGACTGTGTGCTGCTGGCTTCACTCCTGACCAGAGTCTGTGGCCATGCAGCAGCTCGTGCTTCAGCTTGGGGGTCGTAAATGTTACTGTGCTACTGGGTTAGCTGCTGAGGAGAGTCTGTAGCTGCGCTCTCTCTCACCATCACCCTCATAATTCATAGTGAAAGCAAAGTGGCTCCAAACACCAGACCTGTTGATTAATAGAGCATCTTCTGTTTCAGGTCTGGTAATGGCATTAACAACCATCTTGCAACGAGCTAGCTTAGTGTAGCTGCCTCCCAGTGTGTCTCACTGGTGTAGAATGTTGTGGTTTGGGGATGGGAGGGGCAGACGACATGGGTTGCCTTGTTGAGGACAGTAGCACTGAGAACATTATCTTAAACACTGTTGAAACTGTGTATTTTATTTGCCAAATGTAATAGAATAGTTCAACATATCATTGGGTTTGTAATCCGCACCAAACCGAAAGCCTCACACCGAACAGTTTAACACGCATACATGTACTGTGACACCTCTACTACACAGGGACTAATAAAATCAAACTGAGTTCACCAGCTGTTTACAGGTGTTTGGATGGATGGACAGGGTGTGGTGAGGGGAGTCAGTGATTGAAATGAATGAAACTATGCTGACTACAAAAAAAAACCTGTTAACACTTGAACTGTGCCACCACAGTGATGTAACTAAGAAACACAGACCCAAATATGCAATTTAACAAGTCACCAAACTAGTTTGTGACATATGGATGTGAATCCTGCAGCCTGACGTGGGTAGTTAACGATTTGCCTCTGTGAATGTACACTATGCAGCTCTTGGATGCAGCCTATCTGACTAATTTCTAAGTGTAGCAAGGTCTTCAAAAAGCATCAAACACAAATTGTGAACATGGACAACCTGACTCTCTCACACACTTAAATACAGAACAAAAATGTTTTGCAGTGAGTACATTAGAGTTTCTTGTTAAGACTTGTTTTGTACAAGTTTGACCTCAAAGTTCAAATCTCAGGATCTGCCCTCTCATGTTTGCCACAGGTTTTTGCATCCTGTTCAGTGGATCAGTCTATTCGTATCTGGGATATCCGTGCTCCGCCCAATTCAATGCTTTCAGCCGATGGAGCTCACTCATCCGACATCAATGTGATCAGCTGGAACAGGACCGAACCATTCATCCTGTCGGGAGGGGACGATGGGCTTCTGAAAGTGTGGGACCTTCGACAGTTCAAGGTAAAAACCAACAATTTAATTTTCATATCTGAAAATAGAAACTTTATTGGTAATCATTTAACTCATGCAAGATAATTCAGCTGAACATTGTTTAGAGTTATTATATGTACTGTGTTGTTTTGTATGAGTTGTTAAAGCCACAGTTGCTCACTTTTATGACAATAACTTTTGTCATATGTCCTGAAACTGTCACTACATCCACACAGTGGAGTAAATGAAACAGTTGGTCTGCCTCTAATGGCAGGCATGTGCTCATTTTAGACCGCTGCTCAAAGAAAACGACCAATCAGAGCTGAGGAGTCTCAAACGCAGCTAACAATCGTGTCAATCGCTGCTCCTGAACTGCGGTCAAACTAGGCAGCACTGATCACATATGAAACAAGACTGTATTATTGCATTGCCTTTGTCTCACCTCATGTTTTCATTTACATATTTTAGTGTACTGTTTATCTGTAAAATGAGAACATTTGTGACCTGGCTGTCATGTTTGAAAATTTGTATGAAGCACCGCCCACCAGCCAGACCAAACTTTTCATTTTACAGCTTAACAGTCCACTAAAATATGTTTCTGAAACATTTGAGGCAGTGCAGTAACAGAATCTTGATTACTTTTTGATCAGTGCTACCAAATTCGACAGGGCAGTTCACAAGCAGTGATTAGACTTGTTTGAGAACGTGGACGAGATCAGGCAGCTGCAGCAGGAGGCAGTGATAAAAAGCTGCGGTGAAGTCGGACGGTTTCCCGACAGTTTTCAGCAGCCTTTAGTCTGCACAGGAAGTCACAGTATCACTCATATCTTGTTAGATATGATGCAGACTCATTTAAAATGTTACCGGACTCATATATCAGTTTGTTTGCAGCCTCCAGTTGTTTTATTTATGACCGAGTAGCCTATTAAAATGCTTTACAGGTGATCTGTAATTTATATTCATGGTTCAACCTCCATTTTACATGAATTCTTGTGTTATTCAGCATCATTTCAGTTTGCTGCTGCAGAGCAGACCTGTCCCCTCAAGGTTAATATTTTCAGAGGGGAAACAGCTTTCATTACAGATCAGTCAGATACAGTCAGGGCTTCACATCTGTACAGATGTTATTTTAAGAATCCTCACATCCCACTGACCACAAGTCTCTGTGATGCTGATACTTTAATAATTAAAAGAGTCCACTGTTTAAGTACAGTCGGCTACATATAGTTTATGATGAATGTATTAAGTCTCTGATGACTAAACTTCAGCATCAGTCACACAACATGTTTTCTGTTATAGAATAAACCTTTAAATCAGAAAAATAACATCTAAATCTCTTCTTCTCTTCTCTTAAAAATGAAAAGTATATTTAAAACATCATCTTGATGAATCAACATCTAAACCAATCAGCTGTTAGATCAGGTGACAGCCGGGTGTTCCCCATCATACCCTGGGTCTTGCAGTCAGTAGAGAGCAACTGCAGCACCTGGCTCTAAAAACTGCGGCCACCTCGCTCTTGTGAGAATATCGCTGTCCACTTTTTTTTTTTTTTTTTTTTAAATTTATTTAACAGGGACAGTGCACAGCTACTTCACTGCACCAGAGTTAAAGTTTGACACATAGAGTTTCTAAATTGTAAAAAACACAGTTATAAAATAGAACATATTCATGACACAACGGCTTCAACATCAAGTTATCGCAACAACAACAATAAAGCTACAACATTAATTTCATAAAACAGGATTTTGCATGACGTCAGAGCAACTTAGGGTGAAGTCGTACACAAACCTCACCGGCATGCATTGTGCAGCAATTGCCAGTGATCAAATCTGTGCAGGCCTGGCTCATCTCAAACAAGCCTATTGACATGATTTACAGCTGCATTAGAGACTCCTCCACTCTGATTGGCTGTAACACACATGGTAATCCCATTGTAAGCATTTCGAAAGGCAGAGGAAGATGATTTTTTTTCACAGATTACCTATAAGTCTATAAGTTATTTTCATAAGAGTTACCAACTGCACCTTTAATGTCAGACCAGGAGTGAAGATCTGACTGTTTGATCAGCGCGTGTCGTCACAACAGAGTAACCAACCATTAGTGCAACAAGACAAACAGTGTTTGTCCTGTTACAACATCAGATAATCAAGCACCCTCACAGCTTGGCCCCACCTAAATAATAACATTTGTCCCATCTTGCGCCTCTAACACAATAGTATGTAATTACAGCAGCCTCATTCCTCCTGATACAGGAATCCATTTTTCATATGCCTTTAAGACACATTTATACACCCTGATGAGTTCTTGTTGAAACCTGTGAGCAAAAAGCAGAAAACACACACATTTATAAATCAGTCTCCACGTTGGGAATGATGCTGTTATGATTTGAGATTAATGGCTGTCACACCTTTTGTTCCACCCGGACATGCAGACTGGGCGGCCTGTGGCGAACTTCAAGCAGCACACCGCTCCCGTCACATCCGTGGAGTGGAGCCCTGTGGACTCAAGCGTGTTCGCCGCCTCTGGAGCGGATGACGTCATCAGCCAGTGGGATCTGTCGGTGGAGTCTTGCGATGTGGGCGCCAGGGTGGAGGGGGTGAAGGACTTACCCCCTCAGCTGCTGTTCCTGCACCAGGGTCAGTCAGAGATTAAGGAGATCCACTGGCACCCGCAGCTACCTGGTGTGATGATCTCCACGGCTCTGTCAGGTTTCAACGTGTTCAGGACAATATCTGTGTAGCGTGTGAGTGTGAGTGTGAGTGTATGTGAGTGTGTGAGATAGAGAGAGAAAACTATTTTTGCATTTGCATTAGTAGTACACATTCAGTGTGTAATGAGCAGGAAACTTAACATGTTTCATCTTTAAGAAACTTGTAATAATGTACAGAACTCAGCTGCGTACAATAATTCTTCTTTCTGACATTTATTGGCCAACATAGGCGCCATATGGTGTTATAATCTCTGCTATTGAACTCTCAGTCTGTATGTTTTACAGATGTGTGAACTATTTTAGGCATTCCCTGTTGCATGCTTAAAATAAAATGTTCAAAACTGTTTTTAGACTCTGATTTCTTGAATCAATTTTTTCAGAGAGAGAGTGGTTTTATTATTTTCTCAGCTTTTGCCTTCATTGGATAGCACAGTTTTTAAGCGTGTCGAGGGAAAGAGAGGGGATGACACGCAGCAAAGGGCCGCAGGCTGAACTCAATCTCATGATTGCTGCGGCAAGCACATTGCCTTCGTAGATGGACGTCAGCTCTACCTACTGAGCTAGTGGGCATCTCATGACAGTCCCTTTTAATACTTAATCAATAGGGCTGACTGGTAGCGATTTAGTTTTCACTAGTGGAAAAGATGTCAACAAATGTTTTTATTTTAAGATATCTGTAAAACACTTTTAACATCTTACAATTATATTTCCACATGTAGGATATATATTCAACTGGTCAAAACTGATTCCTTGTTCTCCAGTTAGAATAATGATCACTAATATCATATCTACAACTGAGTTTCCACATGTTGATAAAGGGTTGTGACAAGTGGATATGTAGCTACCCATTTCATATGTCAACAATTGCATTTCCAGTATGTCTAACATAAACTATTTTGAATATGTGGCTGTGATGTCATTAAAGTAATAGCTAAAGTACCACAAAGCCATTGAGCCACTTTTAAATTAGCATATTCATGTTGGATTTGTACACACATTATTGAAGATAATTACAGTGACAGTTTGACGAGTGAAACTCCCGTTTTGAACAGCAAAACAAAATGGCGGAGGGAATTAAACACTGAAATTACAAATAAAGAATGGATTAATATGTGCTGAACACAACACACCACCACAAACTCAAAGACATGGAGGGAGATTGGATGGAAAAAATTACTCTGCTACTTCATTACATCTAAAATAAAGGGTAAAACAACCAGAGTATGTGGGAATAGAGAGGTATATTTTTTGGGAACATCACAAGCTTCACTAATTCTGGGAAAATGTGAATGTTACAATCAAAGAAATTCTGGGATATGCAACACCTGATGACTGCAAAGTTATGTACTTTGGGACTATAAATGATTTTGTCATGAATTGCAGAGATATTATTGATCACAAGCAAGAAGGCAATAACAAGGGACTGGTACAAGACTGAATCACCTGCTATAGAACAATGGTTGGAAATTCTAAGAGATTTGTGCTGAGAGTGAGAGAAAAAGTTTTTGTTATTAAATGGAAGAAATGGATGATTTATGACAGTGGAAAAAACATCTGGACTAACTAATACATGAACTTCGTCCTTCACCCTTCTTGCTCAGTTTTTCTCTTCACCTTCTTGATTGTGGAAAGAATGTTGTAAGTTGTTTATAATAAAACATAGGTATGGTTGTATACACAAACTAAAACTCAATAAACAAAGTATAAAAAAAGAAACTCCCTTTTTTGATATCTCAAATTCTGACTCGTCGTGAAAGGAGTTGTAGATATCTCAAATGTAATTGTTACCAGTACGAATATAATTTCCACCACTCACAGTTGCATTTCAGATACCCGAAATGCAATTCTGGATATCTGACATTACTAGTTATAATTTCTAAAATCTAGAATTCCATTAATGATGTCTGTAACGTGAGAACAATTGTTGATATCTACAGTCGACACTAGTAAGAACTTAACTGCTGACATCAACAGCTGACATTTCCACTGGTAAGAGACAACTTGTAGATGTGTTTATTAGAATTGCAGCTAGTCAAAATTACATTGTGGATATGTCACATTGGAATTATTACATTAGAAATCATAGATATCTGTAATTGAGTTTGAATAGAAGTCAATGGTAAAAGTTGAGTAGATAGATAGATAGATAGATAGATAGCAACAAGTTGTTTTATATGTTGTATTTGCTGCATTTTAAATGAGTTTTAAAGGCTGCTACCTCGGCCAGGTCTCTCTTGGAAAAGAGATTTTCAATCTCAATGGGACTTCCTGGTTAAATAGTATTTAAAAATAAATAAATAAAATTTCTAGTGTTCAAACACTATCCAAAGCAGACTCCTTTTTTATCAGTTTAATCTCATCTTCCTTATACTGTCTTCCAGTTGTTTTATTTGCTCTTGTAACTTTATCTCAATCCAGTTAGTAGCATATGAACACATGCACCAACACACACTCACTTAAGTTTTTAGGGTTTTTCATTAAAGAATTAACATTTCAACTAATAATTAATGAGTTGTAGATTTCAATAATTAGAATTGTGACATACATTATTGATGTGTTGGCTTGTAATTCTAAGCAGTCAAAAAGCCCTCATTGATATCCACATTTTCTATTACTGCTTCTGATAACACGTTTAAGGGCTTGTCATGGAGTAGTTGAAAGCACAGATTTACTTTATTTTAGGGAATGGCCATACATGACAGTATCCTCAGACTCACACTGAATTCTTCTCCTTTTTTTGTGCCTAGTCATTTCCAAAGAAAATACAAGTCATAGCCAAGGCTGATGAGTATTTGAAAATCCCAATGATCATTTTATTGTTTTTACTGTAATCCTTATGAAACCACAGGAAAACAAAATGTGTTCAAACCAGCATTTTCAACAGATGAGCATAACGGTCTCTCCCTTTTACAGCATCATGAAACAAAGTCCTTGTTTTTTCAATATATAAGCATTATTAAGGCGAAACCACATGTACAAAAATACACCGCTGGTCCTGATTTACAATTGATCTTTAGATCCCATGATTGTCTTAGCATGTAGTGTTAGTGGAGCCCCACAGCCCAGAGAGAAAAGCTTTGGTAACTTGAAAGCATGCAAAGTAACTGCACAATGAAAACAGATGTGTGAAACTGATCTGAACCAGAGAACCTCACAGATCTGGAATGTGACAAATTCACAGTAATTAATTATACACAGGATATCTTTATGTTCTGACAGAGCCTCTGGGGACCATTTTTAAAGCTCATCGAATGAACTGAACATCAAGAGAAGACATTGAGATTGTAATAAACATGCAATATGAGAAGTAATTATTAAGACACTGACGTAGCACATGGTACAATAATGTAAGAATACAGCTCTCTTTAAGGCACTATAACATAAAGCTCAATAAACAACATCTGTCGTGTGCGCTTCAGATGGCAAATATGAGACATAAAGTCAAAATGAACAATGCAAGCATCGTTCATTGAGTCTGTTTCATAGCAAAGCTTCCAGGTGAATGAAATAAGTCAAAGTGCTACAAACCTTTCACTGAAATAACCTCAACGACACTGATTTCTCTGATCATGACAGCAAATCTGTTACCCTTACAGATAAAACATAAAATGTCTTTTCCAGTTGAGCAACGTCGTCGGACTGCAAATCTTTAAAACTAAAATCCAGTTTGCATTCTGTTGAAGCCTCCCATTCAAACAGCACTGAAATGATGAGTTTAGGAACATACAGTATACTCGATTTACTCAACAGCAACGATGTGTTTTTGAGGGGAGCCCGTACCGGCCCCCTATAGACCAATCTCATCATCAAACTCATCTTCAAATGTGTAGCCTCGTCCTACTTCCTCCTCCTCCTCCTCCTCCTCTGAATCAGTCTCTGAGTGGCAGCTGTCGACCCTCCTCCTGTCCAATGGGGTCACTCCTTCATACTCTGAGCTATGTGACGAGGCCGGACTGGGTGGCAAATCTACTTTGTGGTTGGTGAACTCGGCTTCACCGCCACTGACTGTGCTCTCACTCGCGCCCCTCGTTGGACTAGCCAGCTGATCCTCATCCTGGAAGTCAAACCCTTGACCCTCTTCCTCCTCAGACGCTTGGCGAATTATCTCCTCTCGCTTGTCACTGAATCGCACTTTTGGTCGTAGCCCCTTTGGCTTGATCCCGTCTTGTATCCTGTTGTCTCCCACCTGGTTCCCAAGTTCCAAGTTCTTCCCATTTAGCTCGTTCTGTGCGTTCACAGACATCTCCACAGCCGCTTTTCCCTGACTCGTCTCCACCGATGACGTGCCGCTTTTGGAGTTGAACACGTCCTCGTCGAGCCCTAAACCGTCCATCACCCCGAGTACATCCCCGAGCATAGACGGGCCCAGATCCAGGTCCAGGTCGAATGAAGACACTGACTCAGAGTGCTGGAGCTCATTGTTCTCCGCGCTTCCTGGACCATCTGTGTGAAGATCATTGTCGGTAACCTGAGGGTCAGCAGCTGGCGCACTCCCTGGGTTCGCCGTGTCAGGGTTGGCCTGAGTTGGACCAAGCGTGGACAGGAAGGAGGTGTCCCCAAAGGCGTCACCTCCCCTCCCGATGTGCATGGTGTGGCGAAAGTCACCCAGCGGGGCTGAGATCATGGTGGGGTCCAGGCGAGGGCCCCGGGTTGATTTGTGCAGCGGCATGACTACGAACACATCGAGGGAGAGAATTCATGTTTATATTTGATAACACAGCATGAACAGCTTAACTCTAAAATGAGATAACACAGCGGTATACAAAAATTGGTGCAGGAAAGCAGCTCAGAGGCTGATAAGACAGAGCAGCGTCAACACTTCATCCATGTTGTGCAACTTTGTGGGACACTAGTGAGCATTCTGGCACTGGAGCTGCTGCGAAGGCCATGCTGAGACTTGTACTTGAGACACTCATGCAACGCTAGCACATACTTTTCTCTACCCTCAGGGGTGTGTGCGAACAAAAACATGACTGTTACTTTCTCTACAGAAAAAAATTAAACTTCAACACTGAAACCACTGGGCTGTGTGTGTGGTGGCCATTAAACTAAGATTTAAGTGTGGAAAAAGGCAACACTTAAAGTTAATAGATATCACAGAAGGTGGAAGCCAAGATTACCTAATATATTTGATCATGTCAAACAGGTTAAGCAACTTCAATGACAATTTCTCTTTCAATATCATCACTGCAAACCATCAGATATATTTAAGAGATCAGTCTTTTTAATGTGTGTGTGTGTGTGTGTGTGTGTGTTAGATTTGGGAGGGGAGGGGGCTCACAGGCCTACCCCAACCCTCCACACTTTCCAATGTATACAAGTCAACTGTATATTATACTAGTTAAA